TCTCCGATAGAGTGCCGAATTGTGGACCAAGGCTGTCCGGAGACGGTCGGTCATCCACAGCAGTATCTCGCTACCCAGGTCTGACGACATGGCGTGACCGTCGTTAGACCTGGTCCCGAATGCCCCTTTCGGGCCGTCTTGGTTAGCTGGGAGGGATCCGTCCACAGACGGTCACCATGGATCGTCTTATGGAGATGCGTTGACCCCGAGAGTTTACAATCCAAAAAGTGCAGCGCTAGTTTTGTTCAGGTTTCTGACACAGTGGTTGTTTTAGCTCAAAGTGGCACAAACCCGGGGTGAGAGGGGAGGGGTTCCTCTATGTTTGCCTCCTCCCGCTAGACTGTGTGAAGAACCCCACCTCAAGCAGAAACTGAGCTGAGCAGCTGGGGGTGGGCCCAGTCCTACCCATGTTCCACGTGTGTCTATGTGTGTCCGTGTGCTAGGGGGTAAGGGAGTTGAGCGAAAAAACTTGGAGCGTAGCGGACGGATACACTCTAGATTGCGAAGCTGAGTCTTGCCTTGCGGGATACTCTCAGTTTTATACTAGGACACCAAGGACCCATGCCGGAGAGTCTCCTTCGTTCTTTCCAGGGATGGGAATCATCGGTCGGAGCTTGTGCTGACTAAACTACTTGCCCTTCTGGGTTCCCATCCGGTTTCCAGAGGTTTGGAGCTGCATGGACGCTAGTCGCCTCGGAGCTAGCTCTTCCGGCAACCTGTCATGATCAGAGCTGGCGATGGGTCATTGTGAAGACTGGTTGTGCGTGATCTGCCCGAGAGATGGCCCTCTGCTCACCAAGTGTTGCCATGTGTCGACATGTGGCTATGAAAGCATTGAAGTTTTGGATTCCAGATAGACCCGCTATTTAACAGCTGATACGATTGACTGGAAAAGCCCCACACACATTAAATCTTTTGAAATCCGTCTGACCAAATCCTGCTCTTACCGTACATTGATTGTGCTATCCTTTCCTCCTGATCAAACTTATTTCCCGATGGCTGCATTAACTGAAGCTAGTTCTCTCCCCAGCGCTCCTGCCAATCCTGCCGGTACCCCCGGTGGCATGACAGCTGAAAACGTGCCGAAGCCATTCGAAGGAGCTGAGGCCATTTATCCACTGGATGACGCGCGATATGTAGAGGATCTTAAATTTTTCCAAAAGTCTACTGGAATCGAAGATCCATTGGCGTTGAAGAAACACATCTTCAAAATCCGCGACGAAGCTTACAAAACGTTCCCCTACCCTTGCATTTGGGGTGAGTCTTCACATGATCCGTCCTTCTGCGGAATTGCATTTTGGGAAGCTTACAAGTGTGTATAGGTTTTGATTTCCTCAAGAGGAAGACCCTCACCCATCCCTTTTACCCACAAGTGAAAGCCAGCAAACAATCCGATAAACAGCAGAAAGTTTTCATGGAACTCGGCAGTTTTGGTGAGCTACTTGACCAACGCAGTTTTTGCTAGCATAAGCTGACTTTTTTTTTTGGATTTTTCAGTGGGTGTTGATCTCAGACAAGTTGTCCAAGACGGATGGAGCCCCAATAATGTTTTGGGAGTAGACATTCGTCGAGGTAAGTGAGAACCATGCGCCGCGTCAAAATTCACTTGAGCCCACCGAACATCAACTGAAAACACTTCCGTTTTTAGAATGGACCGACCTCGGCCATCAGCTTTTTAACGACGGTGACCGTGGGCTCCCCTTTTTTCTTGGTGATATCTTCCAGTCGGAGGTCCTTGATGTAGCCCCGGCTGAAGCGGCACGACCAGTTCTTGATCTTAAAAACTTGAAAGATCTCAACCCGTTGAAAGAGCGCGTCATGTACATCTGTGGCCATCAAGTCTTCCATTTATTTCCGGAACCAGTTCAACGTGATCTGCTGGAGCGCTGCTGGCGACTTCTCTCACCTGAACCCGGTGCTGCCATCTTTGGAACTCAAGTGGGCACTCCTGAGGGGCAGACGATGAAGGGCTCCCAGTCAGTAAAGTTTCTTGACTTATTATTGAAAAATATTGAGTGCTATGTCTAAAAGTCGCTAACCCCATTTGCACCTGACACTAGGGCCTACATGCATTCACCCAAGGTAAGAAAAACCGGGATTTTGTTCTCACTTCAATTCCTTTCATCAAATCAATACTAACCCCACGGTTTTTTTACTTTTCTTTCTATCACTGCCACGTCAACCCGCAACCAAAAAAAAATCAATCAAAAAACAGACCATGGAAAAATTAGTGAAGGAAGTATTAGGTGAAAATGTCAAGTTGACGATGGAGGTAGAGAAATATGATGCCGAACATAACTATCACAAGTTTCCTCTTGGGCTTGAAGGAATGTTTTGGCTCCATTGGTCTGTGGAGCGGATTTAAACCATGTTTTCTGGACGTTCGAGAGTACGATATCTCCTAAAGCCTTTCGACTCCCGCCACCTCATGCCACTGTGTCATTGAAATCGTTTAGTAAATTTTGCCTGACATGCATTGCCTGGATCAGCCTGAATCACTCTGGTTGCATCGATTCGCTGGACGATTGGATTTTGTTTCAATTTCAACCTTTCTCTTTTCAATCATCTCAGGAATTCATACTTCATGTTGTCTTGTATCGTACTTTGGCCTTTAGGCCTTGACGTAAAAAGATGCAGGGGACACTTCGGTGGGTTAGAGAGTGTCAAAAACTAAAAGCACAAAATACTTGATGAGAGCCCTGCGATGCAAACTTCTAGTATGAAGAAGTTTGAGGATGGGACGCTGTCCCGAAAGACACACACAAAAGATGATTGGCACATTGGTAGTTTGTGCGTTTCATCCGCCTCGATGCTTAATAGGCAAGTTGATTTGATCTCTTGTGGCCACATAAAACTACAAAATTTCAATCATGGCAGAGCTCTAACGCCAGATGCACAATACGCAGGGATATCGAAATCGCGAAGACCAAGTACGGAGTTGACAAATGCATAATTCAATGTCTGAAAAAAGTGGCAAATCAACCCTTCCAATTTCCAAACGTTTCCAAGCAAATGATATTCTTGATGAAGGACAAAACTGGGCTTGATGATTGCAGAATTTAGTTTGCTGCTGATCATGAATACATTTTGATCAAATTCCACATCCCTAGTGTCATGACTTGGTTCAACTTTTGCTATCATCTGATTCTCTCGCATCAAAAATGAAAAGCCACCTTGACCGGGTGTTTATGGTTATTGCCCAGCTTTTACCCCTCACCTGGCCGGTAACTAAGACTTGAACTGTGAGACTGTCTTATCCTATTATATACCCGGCTCAACCTTTTAGCCCGAGTTAATCATTGCATGCCACTATGCTTGCGCAAATTTGTCACCCACAAGTAGATGTTAGTTTTTCTTATCCTACTAATGTTTCCCGGATTCTTTCTTCAATGAAATAATATAGCTTTTACCACAAACCAGCCAGATCATCTATAATCTTTCCCCTCGAGCACATAAATTTCCATTTTGAATTTCTCCTTTCATGTAGCAAATATTATCAACACATGATCAATTCAGCTCTTGGAGTCTTCAGGTTTTCGTCCTTGCTAAATCATGAAAACCTACCTGGTTGGTTGGATGGCGAATAAGAGTATGGATCATTTTTGAGGTTTTGTGATCGGCGGCTGTATTAGTAATGTTATCTTAGCTTTCAAGCATATCAATTCCTCACTGTTTCACGATATCTTATGTTTTCTCCTTCCTACATATTGCCCCTAACACCACGGCTGGCTCCTCCTCCGCTTGCGTGCCGCCTCGAACCTTTTTTGTTATACTTGAAGTGGTTCACAAGAGCGACCCGCTATGACGCAAGTGTTTAATTGTCTCATTATATCGGGACTTCTCCGAGCTGAAGTCTGAACACACTGGAGTCTTGCAGGCTACAGGCTGCGCTCAAGCGGAGGCCAGCCTAGGCCAGCCGACCTGATTCCGCTTTTTTGTTGATCCAAGTGTCATCTCCCCGCTCTACATAGAACAAGGAGTTGATACGCTTCAAAACCCTAAACAAAATTTCGGATAAGGAGCGAAATTTTTGAGTGACAGTCCAATACCCGGTTGTGAGTATCAACTGCTCGTGTATACACTGTCTCTTGCGCGATCGACAAGTGCACATAAAAAATGCTTCACAAGATGCACACTGCAGCAACTAGCTGCTAGGGTTGGAGTGGCTATTTCCGACGAGTCCTGCACCCTACAGTCTACCCGTGGGCGTGAGGGTTCAAACCGACTTGTCCTATACATTCTCTTTCCCCAAGATTCGACTTCCCGACAACCAAAAGGTGAGGTCATCAAGAGCACCAACTGTTGATAAAGTTTTTCACTACTGCTATCTCATGAGCTGTGATCTAAGTATTTCCCGCGGAGGATAGTAAAGCTACCACTCTCCTTTCTCCACTACAGTTCCATATACACCGTTTTTGGAAGCGATTTTTAACTGCACTTGTCGATCACGCAAGAGATAGTGTTCATACTGGCAGCGATAGAACAGTAACGGAGAAAACAGAGTTGTACCCCTGCTATCCTCCGCGGGAAATACGTGAAGCAAAACGCACGAGTTGGTGATACAGAAAAACCTTATCGACAGTTGGTGCTTTTGAAGACCTGAGATTGCAATCTCTGGATGAGACACTTATTAAACTGGAGGTTGGCTTATGGGGGAAAGGAATTGGTGTGGGGGGTCGAGTCTGGATTTCGCCAGTTGCAAAATAAAACCGGGCACGTTATCTCAACAGACGACTGAGGAGGGAGCTTAGAGATACATAGATTTATCAAAACGACGAGCTTTTTCGACGTCAGTTAAGATCACAAGTAGTTTGAGGTATAGATAAACATGCATCATCCTATTCAGTCTGGCGAAGGCAGTGAACTCTGTTCCACTCATATAATAGCACTTCAAAATCAGACACCAGAAACGTTGTGTGCTGAGCCGTCTATCCTTGGACAAATCAACAACCTCAGCCATGAGCACGAGAGTAAGTTCCGCCTGGACATCCAATTCCATTTCTATTTAGTATTACTTCGATTATACGCTACATAGCTTTGGTCCTATCATCAGCACTGTGTCTGCTACCTTTGTCTCCTAACACTAGGTTTTTTCGCAAATTCTAAGATAAAGATATGTTCCTTCCGTGTGCTCCCTCAAGCCCGCGTGATAACTGTGGTATTGTGAAAGAGGACGTGGCTCTACCATTGAAGGGAGTGCAAGCTGTTTATCCGCTGGATGACTCGATACAGGCCAACGATTTAGCATTCTTCAAAAAGGCTACTGGAATTAATGACGCATCAGAGTTCATAAACCATATCATGGGAATTCGTGAATCGGCTTACAAAAGTTTCCCTTATCCATGCATTTGGGGTAAGCATTCAAATTTTCCTGACCAACAATGTTTCATTTATTGAAGATCCATATTGGATAGGTTTTGAGTTTTTGAAGGGAAAAACAACCACCCATCCATTTTATCGTCACATGAAGGAAAACACACTTTCGAATGAACACCAGAAGTTTTTTATTGATCTCGGAACTTTTTGTGGGTCATTCCATAGCCAATTACTTGACTGGAACTCTAAGCTTATCATGTTTTAAACTGTTTTTGGCTTGTTAGTGGGTGTTGACCTGAGACAAGTGGTTGAAGATGGATGGAACTCAGATAACGTTTTAGGAGTAGACATTCTTCCTGGTAAATGAAACCCATCTGAAGCATTACAAATGATTCAGCTTATGATTCATCCTGGCATACGAAGAGAACTGATATTTTTTCCTGTAGAATGGAGAGACCTCGGTCATCAGCTTTTTAGAGATGGTAATGAAGCGCTGCCTTTTTATCTGGGGGATATTCTTCAAGTCAAGACCCTCAATGACAACCCATCGTCAGAGGCACGGCCAGTACTCGACCTCCGAAACTTGCAAGACCTCAACCAATTGAAAGGGCGCGTCAGTTTTATCTCTGCCAATCAACTCTTTCATCTGTTCTCAAAAGATGATCAAAAGGAATTGGCCGAGCGCTGTGGACGACTTCTTTCTCATGAGCCAGGTGCTGCAATCTTTGGGACTCAATTAGGCTTTCCTGAGGAAAAGCTTGAGAACTACAAGTCAGTCTAATTTGTAAATCCATCCTTAAGAAGAGTAACCAGAAGAGTAACCGACCTTGATGTCACTACGTGCTATTCTTTGGTACTAGGCTCCATCTCCATTCACCAGAGGTAAGAATGAATTTATTTTGGCTCTGTTGGTTCAATAATTCAGATTAATCGAAAAAACTGACATCGCAGGTTTTCTTTTGAACCGACAAACACATCTGGAAATCAAACAAAACAAAAAATCAACAACGGGCAAAAAGTCATGGGAACAGATGTGGAAGGAAGTACTGGGTGAAAAGATTCAGGTGATTGTTAAATTAGAAGAGGCCGACGCCCAACATCCCTATCATAGCTGTTCTCAAGTTGAAAGCCTTTATTGGCTGTACTGGTCCGTGGCGCGAACTTGAAAATGACTGGGAAGCCAAAAACCTAGCTTTTGGAAAGAAGCGGACAACCCAATACTCCGATGTGGAAATCCCTGCTCAGAATGGATGATACACACCAGAAAAGGCCTGCTTAAAAACCAGTGATACATGGCATAATTCACATTCCAGATTTTTTTCTTCTACTATTCAGAAATCAATTCAAAACCTACTGTGGAGAAACACATGAATCAATAAAGTTCAACCTGTGCATGCATTTGTGTGGTAATTTTCTCTCTTTCAGTTGCCATTTTCTTTTTTTTCTCTCTCATAAGTAGTCGTATATATGTGTCTTGTGATGTACCAAATTCCAACCCTCAGTTGTAGATATACAAAGCTGTCCCATAGTCTGAAAAATTGGTCACCAGTCTCTTGGAAAACTAGATCTGCATACATGAAAAAATTGGCAGAATTTGCAATACAGAATCTCTGTTCATTGTTTTTTTTGAATCAGTTTGTGCTAAAAGTTTTCCTTAACTTGTGTTGAATAAATAATGGCTGAAAAAAAACTTTCAATACCTTGCTTTTCAACAAAGAAGTAATTTGAATAATTAAGCCTTTATTACTGATCAACCAAACCAAAACTAGTGCAGGAAAGCCTAGTCCGGAAATTGGTTTTGAGCCTCAAAAGCTACCCCCCCCCCAAAAAAAAAAACAGGAATTTGTCGGTATAAATTCAGAGCTTCAAGGGGTTCCAGATTGAACAGGAATTCCTCCAATACATTATACAACAAGAAAGATCAACTAGATCAAATAAAATGGTGGGTCACATAGGGCCCTGAAGAGCATTAAGCCTTGGTGGAGCTTTGGAGATAATACTTCTTGGTTTAATGATAAAGAAATTAATGATTTTGCATTGGATTATGGCCTAATGAAGGAGGTAAAAAATTACCTGAAGTAAAAAAAAGACAGAAAAAAACAATTCCTGACATCTTTTGCCTTCTGAGATGATCTTCCTTTACACAGGAGCTGAAAGTGAGTGAGGCCAACTTCCAAGGTGGTTGGTTTTTTTGTAGATTTTCCTTGGATCCCCTAACCTCTAAATTGGGCCTTCTGGTGGTATGTGGGTCCGGTGAACCCCCACCATTATAAAATCTTCAGCTCTTCTGGAAAACACCTGCAAAGGATGTCTGATAAGAGATTGGACATAATTGAGTTTTTTTTTTACATTTTTATTTATTTTGGAGTCAAAGCCAGAAGTGAAATGGTACAGAAGTGAAACCAATAGAGGTGTATGACTGTGGTAGATAAAATGTAAATTGAATTGAAACCCATGTTAATGAACAAACTTAGGAATTTATTTCTGATATGAGAAACATGAAGGCAAACAAATAAAATGAGACAAAAGAAACATAAAACTATTCTGATCTTAGGGAAAATCAACAGCAAAGAAATGAAGAGAAAAACATTGGGAGACCACCATGAAAGGACAAAAGCAGAAGGACTGAGAAAGGAAATCATATTGTTAATATCCTGATTGAAATTAGAAAAAGAAATAGCTGGATGTGATTACCTACGATGAAGTTTGATCAATTGAAAAGATGATAATAAGTGATGAGTTGGAAGAGAAGGGAAGCACAGGTCAAGTCAGCAATGTGTTGAATAGAAGGGAAGGTGTTGAGAGATTCTTGAGACAGGATCAAACAGCTGGATTTGAGCTTTGTGAATAGAGATGGCGATGATGATTCACGTCAGAAAGAGGAAAAATAAAAGTGGAAGTGTTGAATTTTGATGATGATAAAGTGGGTGTAGATAAATTAAACATCCCAGAAGGTTCCCCAAGAGGAAGAAAGAAATGATGCAGATAACAGGGTGTTTATATACACGTTAGAGATGAGCCATATGCATGGACTGCAATTTGATATTGAATAAAAGAAGGATTGAACTTGATGATGTAATCTAGGCAAGATGATTTTGTGGTTTGATGTGCTGAGGGTTTGAGAGTACAGAGTGCAACACATGTTCTTGACCACACCTTTCCTGCAAAAAAGGTCCAACTTTGAGCTGAATTTCCATGATAAAAACATTTAATATGCATCAAAAGATGCTACATCAAACACAGAACAAGAAAATATGTAGTACATGTCTGTAGGAGGCCCCAAAAAAATATTTTAACTAGTTAGAGGCAATTTTTTGCTGTCCACCACATATTTTCTTGTTCAACATGTGTTGTAGCATTGTTTGATACATATTACATGTTTGTAGCATGAATACTACAAGTAAAGATTCAGCTCAAAGTTGGACCTTTTTTGCAGGAGAGGTGTGGTTGAGAACACATGTTTCACACTGTATGGGAGGGACCAAGAGTTGAGGCACAAAAATTGAATGGTGCTGATATTTGTTGAGTTTTTGGCGAAAAGGCCGAAGAAAAGAAACTTTTTGACTCAAGTTGGAAGGGCTCAAGTGCTTCACAACAGAGACCGAAGAAGGGCTAAAGTGCTTCTTCGGGAAAGGCTCAGAAAAAGATTAAAGAACCGATGGCTGTAATTTCTTAGCATCTAGATGATTTAAGTAGTCTAGATACAATGTGGTCAAGATGTGGGAGCAGCATTTTGAATAAGGGACAGAAACAATAGTGAATAACAAATATGTCAGAGAAAAGAAGAAAAAAAAAAAGAGAGATCGAGTGAATTTTCAACAATATTCCAACAACCCACACAACAAGTGATGAAAAGATAGGTTTGTGTGAATCATGAATTTACAACTGGAGTGTAATTTGTGGGATATATCAACTTATGACTATGATTTGAGCATCCTCAATGGCAAGTGGTGCCAGACACAGCCTGATGATGACTGCAGCAGCAAATCCATGAGAAGATCCATGGCTTCAGCTCAGCCAAAACATTCACACAACTCATGGACTATTTCAGATGACTTCTTATTATAGATGCAGTGGGCTGAAATGATCTGGGACTTGCTAAGGGGAATCCACCCAAGCCTTTTTCACAAACAACATGGGTTACATAATTCAAAACATCTTTGAAAAAAAGAGTGAAAATCAGAATCTCAGTAAAATCAATCTGGATTTTCACTAATTCAATCAATTAATCTAACTTTACTCTGCTACAACTACTTATTCTACCATCTATTGAATTGTGGGGTTCCAATTCAAATTTTTTGCTTCTGACCCTGCTTATAATTATTTCTGGTTGCTTTTTTCAACATAAAAATTGAGGAATTGCTGGTGATCATCCTCTGGACACAGCAACTCAAATATGCAACACCTACATGTTGCCAAGGTGTTGTACAGAACCCCCAAAGGCAATATTCTGAGGTACTGGATTTGATTGATTGCATGTTGATGATATATGAGTCGGGACCCAAGCATGCCCCTGCTGCACTGGCTAATTTAAATTTGGGTTAAAAAGCACTTTTGCTTCCAGGTAGAATTGGGCTTTAGGCTCAAGATCCTGTTTTAAATACCATTGAAACAAGTATGTCAACCAGAAGAAAAGTGTCCAACCTCCAATTTTCTGTCTTTTTTTTTTGAATTTTCACCCTTTCCAAAAGTTTTCTTTCCTTTTTTGGCTGCATGATGCCTTTTTTTAGAGATCATTTTTTGGTACCCGTTTCTAGGTACCTGGCACCGCTTAGCAGGTACTGCTGGCACCTGCCAGGAGATGCCGGATGTGGTACCAGGTGTCTGTTAGAGATGGCCCCGGCGCATCTGGATATCCAGCTGCTTCCTCCGGGGAAATCACCATCCGCAGCCACTGGCGGGTATCTTTGGATGCCCGCCCTTTAAAGGGTTTTGAGGCACCGGCTGGAAGAAACCCTTCCAGTCAGCAGTCAGGAGGTACATGTACCTCACCGGTGAGGTGCATGTACCTCTCTCCGGCTGAAACTTGGAAGGAAATCCTTCCAGTTGACATGGTACATGACATGTACCTCTCCGACTGGAAGGAAACCCTTCCAGATGTACCTCTCGCCAGCTGGAAGGGTTTCCTTCCAGTTGGCCATTGGCCTTGGGTATCCGTGGAGATACCTGGGTATCCGTTGGAAATTCAGGGGAAATGGCACATCCGCTGGCGGGTATCCTTTACAGTGGGCGGGTAGCCACCAGCAGATAACGGGTATCTGCAACGGATACCCGGAGACCATCTCTAGTGTCTGTTTTTGGAAGAAAGAAAAAAACAGGTGATACCCAGATGCCACTACAGTCACCGCCCCACTTCTCCAACATAGGGTGGGGAGGGGGAGGGGGGAGGGGGGGGGGCTGCATATTTTACAATAAATATGAAAAAAAATGAAAAAAGTGACAGCTAGTGTAACGAAGTTAGAAAGAGAGGGAAAGTACCGGTGGTACCCGCCGGGCCGTGCCGGGTGCAGTTCTTGGTACCTATTTTTGTAAAAAATTGGAACATCAACAGGTACCCCAGTACAAACAAACAATCTCTAGCCCTTTTTCTCCCTACGTTCTCTCAAGTTGGGGAAAAATTTGTCAATGTTTACATGAGTATTTCATCAGAAGAAATCACAAAAAAAAAAAAGAAATCATGAAATTTCTACCAGATTTAAATTTTTCATGAGTATCACTTTGCAACAAAAAAGTGAGTACTGAGTTTTGGTACCAGTTAGATGAGCCAGCTCAATAGGGGCTTGCCAGGGTCCTTGTGAGTCACAAAAACTGTCCAAGCCTTGTTTGGCCACAATATATGAGAATCTTTGCCTGGCGTCCTTATAATATATGTGATATCTGATCATCAGGTCTGCCAAAACTTGATCAGATGTCACAAGAATTGCCACAATATTGCTCGATTATCACAAGCAATACCCATTTTGCCCCAAAAATAAATGGCAATTTGGGTGGGGGAAAATGGATCAATTTTCTGGCACTTTTTTCCAAAATGCCTCAGGAGTAGAAATCAGGCTAAACTGAGCTATTTTAGCCCAGAGATAGAAATTCATCAAACATTCCAAAATGAATTTTTAGCTCATTTGAGACATTTTTATTTTTTGGCTAAAATAGCTCATTTTAGCCTAATTTTTTACTCCTGAGGCAGCTTGTAAAAAAAGTGCCAGAAAATTGTTCTATTTTCCACCATCCAAATTGCCATTTTCCCTTGGGGCAAAATCAGTATTGTTTGTAGTGTATATTGGTGCCAAACAAGGCCTCAAAAAAACTTATTTCATGCATTTCTGAGGCTCACTAACCCCACCACTGGAACTGGAAAAATCCAAATGGGAACCCTGCGCTAACGAGTATGTAGATCAATTCTGGAATCTGAAATCTATCGATTGCAAACCACAATCCAAATGAAGCCCCCTTGCATATTATAACTCATAAAAAAAAAGAAACATCTTCAAAAAAAACCCCTCAATAAAATGGATAGGATTACACCCATGATACTACAACATATATACACACTACATATATATGTATATGTATATGTATACTGAAAAAAAGCAAAGGGTGCAAGACTGTAACAAAATGAATGACCTGCTGAAAAAAAAAAAGCTTGAATAAACAAATGACCAAAGCAAGCCCTCTCTAAGAAATGTGCATAAGTGTTGTAGCAGAGCAGCAAAAAGAAAGGAATGATAAGCGTATTTTCCGTAGGTATATATATATAGTGATCAGCCATCTCCCATGACAAAAGACAAAAGGAAGATTGTAAAGCGGCCATCGTATCTGGCCTAATTGATGTCGAGAAAGAAAAGTCATATCAATAGATGACCGGAAAAAAAAAACGTGGTTGGACTTGTTTGATAGCAGGGCGGGTTGAAGGATTAGGTGGCCAATCATACGGCTTTCAATGATCGAAAAAACATGCAAAGATTGTACAACATACCAATCCGAAACAAAATGCAACAAATCCCTCAATTGAAGTCATCTCTTAAACGATAATCCGGCTGCACGAATCGAAGTGCTAAAAGATTTGCCGAGCGGATTCGAAGAGAATTTAGGTTTTCTATCATTAGGATCAAGTTTAGGAGGCGGGCCGGTGAATCCGGTACTTTGTCGGCGCAGATGGCTCTTATGAACATCTTGAATACTGAGTGGTCTTGGGAATCGTTCGGTCATGTCGATCGATGCTTTCCGTCTAGGAATCGCACAGCTGGGCGGCGCATCTGAGGGACCCATCATCGAGATGCCCAGTTGATGTTGTTGTTGCTGTTGCTGGTCAGAAGAGATCGAAAGGCGCGATAATGGTCGTGTTGATCTGGGGCGAGGAAGTCCTGCACCAGGGAATGTCGATTTGAAACCAATAACACAGAAGGAAAAAAGTGAGATGTTAAAAACAGCTCCAAGCCGTGGATATACAGCTTGGAGGAAAAGACTGACCAGTGTCAAGATCTCTATCTTGTGACGTAGCTGGTTGGGTGACATTTCTTGACGCTGTGAGAGAGACTCCGTTGGGAGGCCTTCTTGGGCTGCGAGTGGTGCTACTTCGATTGAGAGCGGAGATGCTATGTGGATTGGATTTGGAATGGATAGAGCTAGAGAGGAGGGAGGTCTTGGGCACGGGGATAGCACTGACGGTCCGCAAGTTCCTCGAGCTGACCAGTTTCTTCGTCATCCCTTGCATACGTTCTGTCTCGGCACGAAGGGACTGTAGATGCGAGCTTTCTTTATTCAGGTTTCTAGGGTTTGTAGGCGTTTCGAGAGCCGGTCGGCTTCGTGACTGAGAGCGTTTGGCTCTAGGAGCTACTGAGGTTGATGCGGCCAAGCGCGGATCGGGCGAGAAGACATTTTGAAGCGGCTTGATAGTAACAGAGTGAGGCTTGACGCGCAGAGATGCAGCTTTCTTCGACTGGGTAATAGCCAAAGACTTGGCGGTTTGCGACTTGGGTGAGCCAATCTCACCAGCCATTGAGCTCAGCCTGCGTCGATGGGAATCTTGCGCATCAATCACGGAGGTTGGTTTCGTCCTGATCATTGGTCGTGATGGTGAAGACATCTCGTCTGTGTCCTTCAACACTTCTAGTCCTGGATCACTGAGAGGGGTTTCCGAAAATGTTCGGGTGGATAGTTGACAATCTTCAGGGCTTGGCGACAGCACGCGACGGGTGGCCTCGCCTGCCGGGGAGGTTGCCGAACTGGCCAGATGCTCACGCAAGACGGCTAATTCTTCGGTCATATCTTGAAAAAAATTCACCAAAGATTGCGTTAGTAAGAGTTATGCACTGCACCGGATATCTATCGACCAACCTCTCAAATCGTCTTTCAGCCTCTGATGTTCTTCTTCCAATTTACTTTTCTCAATCAGTTCGTCTTCGAGTAGAGTGATCCTTTCGATCGCTTTCCCGTACTTGCTTTCAACGTCTTGTAGGGAACTAGCCACCATCCTGAGATTCCACAAAAACCACATAAAGAGATCGGTGATCATTCTTCCTGTTGAGTTTCATGACAGGTGGGAAAACTTACCGTTCTTTACCTTCCAGCTCGTCATTGTCTAACTCCATATCACGAAGCCTAGTTCGATATTCTTCGTTAGATTTTCTGCATGTTTCAAGTTCGGTCTGCATGTGTGTCATCGTCTTTGTGTGGTCTTTTAACGAAGAGTGGTACTTGATCTGATGTGGAGTTAGGAGAGGTAAGAAGCTGGTCAGTTTGAGGATGAGCTTGAATTGTCATTTATCAGAGGAATATTAGTGCTTGAAAATTGGATTCACTTTCCACTGATCGATTTCGTGCAACAAGTGTTCTTCCTTTCCCCTTAATTCCTTGAGCTGTTTTTCGGTGGCCTGAAGTTCTCTTTCAAGCTCAGTTTCGAGCTCTTTAGAAGACACCTGAAACTCATCCAGGGCCAACTTCGTATCGTCTAGGTCGGATTGCAAACTCCTGGCTAAGCTTCGATAGTAATCAAGCGCATCGCCATCGGATGTAAAGCTGATCCAGAAAAACACGGCTTGAGGGTACCATTCACTCATTCGTAGTCTATAGGTATGCGATTACTCACGAGGGCTCTTCCATGGTGTACGTTGGTCGTCGATTTCGAGTTCGTTTAGAGTCGTCTTTCTCGGTGGGAGCGTTTAATGTTCTGATATGATAGTGGATGGTCGTGTGCGTTAGTTCAGTGAATTGGATTTCTTTAGGGGGGGTCGGTTAGTTCTCAGATTCGTAATGAGCGGCAATTCAGTGTGTATTGAGTGAATAATTAGATTGGAATTTGGGAGTGGTAAACAGCGCTGGAGGAGGGTGTCGATCTGATTGGTTCTTTGGTCTTGATGGTGGTGGGTCGGTCAACAGGGAATATCGAATTTCGGAGTGTGTTTTCAACTTTAATAAGTCCATAACTATAGCGCACCTAAGTGAATACTATGCATCTATCCACATTGTAAGTACATAAATACCCAAAACGTTTGAGGCGATGCAGACCTTGCCAAAAAGAACCAAAAAGGTCATCCAAGTTCCACACAAGGTTTCAAGATCAGCAGCATCCAAGGACAATGACAAACTTGTAAATGATCAGTTGGATTGATTGAAATCACCTCAATGACAAGAGTGCCCTTGATGGTACGTTTTGGGACATGTAGAATCCCAAGAATCAATGTTATTCCTGATGGGAAAATTGTCCAAATAGAAGGCTCCAAGGGACTCTTTCAAAGAGAGAGAAAAGTCACCAGACCAAAAAAAAAAATCATGTTCTCAATTAGCACCAACAATGTACATACAAGTGTGTCTCCCTAGCCTATGCTCACTCAAGTTGAGTGATGACAGGGATGAGAAGGACAACCCAACCGGCTATGTGGAATGGATTTTTTGTAACAATTTTTCAGTCCTCTTGGTCTGGGATGACCTCACCTTTTCCTTTCTCTTCCAGACGCCAACCTAAAGATGATGACTTGTAGGGTAAAAAGAGTTCCACAATCAGCTTAGCCAAAATGGGAGCCAGCATACATACTGAATGGATTACATCAAACCTTCAACCAAATGAAGATGTGTTGCTCATGCTCCGAACCATCCATCAAAGTTCAACCTCAAATTCAATACAAAGTATTTAGCTATTCCAACTTCCATATCAGAATCCACTCAAACCAATTCACTAATTTGATTTTATTTCAATTTTTTTTATTATTCAGTCACAACAAAGCACAACAAACAAACAGGCAACAACAACAACTAAGTCAAAAAAGAATGAAAGAGAGAAGAAGAGGAAAAAAAAAGGAAAGACTACAACACAATCAGACACACACACACATTTTTAAATATATAAATATTCACAATCACAATATACACACAACCACCTATGTTTTTTTTTTTCAATCTAGAGACACAAACACATCGACAAAAAAAGGAAAGGAGCAACAACAACAACAACAAGGGGGAGAAGAGGAGAGGAAGAAAAAAGAAGGGATCCAAGTCCACCATGATCAATAAACAACAACTAGTGTCCTCTAGAGTAGTAGAAGTAGTAGCTTCAAGATAGGGAAAGAAAGAAAGGAAGGGGTGATAAACAATATATATATATAGATAGATAGATGAAGGAATGGATGGATGTTGTCTTCAAAGAAGAGGATGGGGAGGAAGGAAGAAAATTGAAGAAAAAGATAAAGATGAAGAAAACTCGGTCATTTTTTCTTTCTTGAAAATCTATCTATAATATAATTGTAAGGAGATGTATGCGTAGATACCGGTGTTTGTTAGTGGTGATTTTTTATATCCATGTGTTGTGATTGTATATATCAAGATACATCCGCCCATTTGTATTATATACGTTGATGATAGAGAAGAAAAAGAATCGACCGGTGGATTTAAAGAAGTGATAAAAGGAAAGAATAGATAGCGAATGAGATTGAGAGTTCAAGAGTTTGTGAAATATGTATATTTCAAAAGGAAGGTAGATGGGGAAAAAGTGGACGGGGTAAGGTTTAAAGTTCCATCCCGACTACTTCATCGCCCTCGACTCGTTCGCGTTCTCTTTCGGTGGAAGGAGACCAGCCATCATCGTCGTCATCGTCGTCCTCTTCTTCGGTGGTAGACTCGTCTTCTATCGACGGTTTATCGTTAGCGTTCGTAGAAGAACCAGGTCCGGCAGCGGTAGCGGAGGAAGGGTTAGGTGGGAATTGTTCGTCGTCGACAAGCTCGGGATGGAAGTGGTTCCGGCCTTCGAAGCGGAGCTGGCTATCTTGGTAGGGTGTCATGGGCTTGAAGATCGACTCGGAGGCATGGTAAACGAACCGGTTGGCCTGGTGACGTGTGTCCACAGCAGGCTGGTAGGCGACCATGGCCGGAAGGGAGGCGACCAGCCGCCCCTTCGAGGCCGAGCTGGACGAGGCCGAGCGTTCCAAGGAGCCCAAGTTTGAGACTACACTGGAGACTGATTGTGGGTTCCGGCGCTCGAAGTAGCCGATTGGTGGTCGCCCAGAAACCGACGAGGAGATGCTACTGCTCCGTACACTTCCCCCGCGCCCCTCGATTCGCTGCTTAGCCCGGCCAGTCTGACCGGCGTTCGAGCAAGAACTCTCTTCGCCATCAAGCGACATCGAAAACATGATCTCATCTTCCCCCTCCTCGCCGGGTGCCTCCGAACCCCGTTCGTCCTCGACCGATCCTCGTTTACCAACATCCTCGTTCATTTCAACATCCGTGTTTTCCCGTGACTCGCGCGAGAGAACACAGGAGGTTGATGAGGAGCGGTAATGGTGGTGGGGATTGCTGACCGCCCGAGCTGCTTGTTGAGAATAAATCACTTCCAAGTTCACTTGGTCCGAGCCCAGGAGGCCGGCCTCAGATGAGGAAACCGCAGCAGGCCATAACGATCTTGACTCGGGTAAACTGCCGGATGGTGCCGCTAAAATCGCAGCCGCCTATATATGTCAGGTTCGGTACCCGGGTCAAATGTATGCAATCAAAGTCAAAAACAGTTCAATTACTGCAAACACTCGAGAATCACGGTTTCCTGTTCTGGATTCAATGTGCCCATGCGCCCGAGCGGCATGTTGAAAATCATAGAGGTCGAAAATAGGAAAGGACTGAAAACTAACCTCTAACATTTGCACTTGTTGATGCTTGCTCAACATTAATTTAGAGGCATCAGCCCAGTACTTTTTTTTGCAAAAGGAAGAAAAAAAATCAAAACAATGTTTTTTTCATTCATAATCAGCATCCTTAATTACATCGTTTTTTTGTATTCCATCCAGTCACTTATGAGCGACGAGGTGTTAGATCAACAGACAATGGAAGAGGGTCTTGGTATTTTTTGAATAAGATTGATCAAAGACAAAGGAGATAGTTACCTCGGTATGTTCCCAGCGATGCTTGACTAGGCATTGTGGGTGTCTATAAACCTGTGGTGGGTGATTATCCAAAGGTGACAAGGGGGCGGGGACGTCGGCCGAATACAGTACGTTTCATTGAGGTGTCGTTGTCGCAATTATGGAATACATAAATGAAAGGGAAAAAAAGGAAAGTCAGCTTGGCCTTCATTAGTCTAGAAATGAAACTGATTGATGTGTACGTAATGAACTGCCTTTAGTCTGTGTAATCAGGTAAAGGGGGAGATACATAAGGTTGAAGATAATCTAGCTAAATTGCGACATGGCCAGATACATGTGGGTACCGGATGGGTTAACATGTGAGCACATAGGGGTTAAATGATCTAGGAGGAGGGTTGTGGTTCAAGGTGCATCTGAAGCACGGTAGAAATTATTGAAGAGCGGATCTACCACTTCAAGATATGGGTAAATTTTTGGTCTAATAAACCGTTTTGCATAGTTCAGTCGGAGTCAAGACGTCAGGCAACCACAAGGTTTTGAGCTTCCGCCGAACGATGTTGATGTGTGGGCTTATTTGACGGTAAGGAGAGCATGACCAGTTTTTGGATGACTTGAACCGCAGAGAATGCGCGAGATAAAAATGAAAGAAAGGGAGATAGAGAAGACCAAGAAGGGGGGGCTGACCTTGAGACACTTCTCACACTTGAACAACTGGTTAGTCTTGGCTGGCTCACGCCTGTTGCTGTTGCTGGTACCGTTGTTAGAGCTTGTCAGATTATGATGATTACTGTTAGACAAGGTGGCAGATAGAGCAGGATGATGGTTGTTTTGGAGTGCGACTGCCTCGGTGTGTCGATGGTGGATACGCTGCTGATGGTGGTTCCTGAGTGGGGATTGGGAGAGGTTCCTGGGATGGGTTAGATGGTGATGGTTGAGATGGTGAGGGTGATGGTGGTGGTGGTGGTGGTTGAGAATCGATGAGGATGAGGTGGATGAGGAGGATGGGGAGGGTGGTGAGGAAGGACGAAACTTGTGGTGATGTCTGTTGATGAACTGGTTGCTGTTCTGGTTGGGGGGTGATCCTAAGCTGTTGGAGAGCGAGGAGTGACGGGAGCTTCGTTCGAATCGTTTGCTCTCAGCTACTGCCGCCTCGGCACTGGTACTGAGTAGGAGGAGTGAGGTGGGTTTGACTGCTGGTAGGATGTTAGTTGAAGCTGAAGCTGCTGCTACTGATGACGATGAGGAGATGAGCTGTAGTCTGTCAGGGTTGGGATCGATGTGACGACGATCGGTTGTGATGGTCCTAGTTGTTGAGCTGGACATGTTGGGATAAGGAAGGGATACGAAGACGAAGACGGGGTTTTGTGTTTTGGATGGTAAAGATGGTTGTAGTTAGGAGGAAGGGAGGGAGGGAGGGAGGGAGGTAGTTCTTGTTGACCGTCCTGAGATGAGTCTGCTGCTGCTGCTGCTGCTGCTGCTGTGAAGAGTTGGCTGAGGCGTGAAACAATTTTCTTTGGACTGAGTGGTAGTGGTACCGCTCCAGTGCTGTGTCGGAGGGTCGAAGTGGTGGTCCTGGTTGGAGTCCGATTACGTAATCTCTCATCATCAGCTGATCGGACCGTAAACCCAATCCCGGTCTTCCCAATCCCAACTCAGCCCAGTTCAACTGCAGGACTGCTGATGTAATCAATCCTCACTTCCATGAATCCCTTTGGTATTCATGATTGACATAAGCATCATAAGCATAAGTATATCGTATAATCATCATAAAATCCGAATCCGACTCACCCACAGCTCACATATCCTTGCATCTTGATCATCCCAAAAGAAGTTGTGTTTATGTGGACATTGTACAACAGATATGTGGAGCTGACCCATAGATAACATACTCAACAAGAGTTAACACACCACCTAATCAATCTGGCCACTCAAAAAAAAAATCAGGGATTCTTTTTTAGAAAGGCAAACTGTACATGAATGGCTGGATCATGAAGAAGATTGTCATGGACTAATTCATAATACTGCAGATCATGGTAGACATAAAACAAACATTGCAAATTCATATTCATCAAAAACCAATAACCAAAATGAAATCAATTCCTCAATCAACTAGCTGATCAATAGAGAATGAACATATCCATCAAGGGTATGTCAACCAACTTGTATGTAACTCACCAGAATCATAAAATACTCAACCTGAATTGCTGGAAAAAATTAAAATCAATATATTAAAAGGCTCCAAATTTGTGTTGGCTGAAGAAGAATGTTTGAAGAAGTTAGATCTACCTGGGGAGACTGAGCAAGTCAAATGGATTGAAAAGCCACTATCTTCACAACCCAAAAAAATGATTTGATTGCAGCATCCAGAACAACTGCTTTTAATTAGACACTTCAATCTTGGCCAGAGAGGGAGATAAATTCTGGATGGGCTATAGTATGGGAAGGGAAGAAATTCTAAAGTAATAAAAAAACACTGATCATGATGGATCATGCATTCACATGATCAGCAGATATCATCAGTGGTTTTGTTCATCAGCAGATTTGTTATATGACACAAGTCCAATAGGATGGTTCACGTCTGAGCTTTGAGGCAGATTTAATGACATTTATCATTAAATTTTGACAAGTTTGTGAAAAATCTCAAATTCCTCCAAACCTGATGATTCATGAGGTTCGACAAAATTAATAAAACTTTATCTATAAATGTGCTAAAAACTGCCTTGAACTTCAGCCGTGAACTGGCCTACTGTATATGTATCACATCAGAAAAAAAAAATGCACACCTGAACAGAAAACATGTGTAAGTGCATTCAATTGCTACTAGTGACCAACTTAGGGTTGTGGCTGAAGAAATTAGGACCAAAGAAGAGAAATCTTTTGAGGAGAATTTTTGGCAACAAAAATTATGTTTGTGTTGGAACGGCCCAGAGGGTCGTAAAAGGAAGGAGAGAACCAATGATGTTTTACCTAGAAGAGACTGGCTGTTAAGTAGTCTACGTACAAGAGGTTAAACATGTGGGTGAGAAAAGTTGAGTATCAAAATGAATAACAAGAAATTAACATATGCTCAAAAGGATGACTGGAATAAATGGCAGTTGATAAAGACTAGATCAGGGTTCAAAGACTACAAGGATTGCAGCACTAGACAACATGACAAGATACCACACAGAAACCATCAAAACAATAGTAGAATTAATTGTATTATTTAACCAATCATCATTACTTTTTAAGGAGAGATAAAATGAATCTTTTAGGGATGAGAAGAGAAAGAGATGAAATTCCAACAGTGGCACATAAAATAAAAGCTTATCAGGGATTTGTGGCCCATGGTTACATGTGTGATGACCAAAACTTATGGATGTGTTGTCAGACCTGTCTGACTGCATACCCCTGGTGGACGAAATATCCTGGGTAGTAACTTAAAGATGGACATTGGTACCCGTTTGGAGGTACCCGGCACCCGTTTGCCTGGTACTGCCCAGACCCGCCTGGCACCTGCCAGGGGGTGCCAGGTGAGGTACCTGGTGTCAATTTCTGAGCAAAACAAAGGTGGTACCAGGGTACCGCTAGAGGTACCCTCTTTACTGCGCAGTCACTAAGTAGGGTGATGGCCGTTGCCTTCTACTCAAAAAGTGGGATGATAAAGGAAGGGGTGTTGGCCAAGTGGAAAGATGGTATTCAGACTGCTAAGAAGGGTAAATCAGATGGGAAAGGCACAAGAAAGTCGATAGTATTAGAAGATTAGCTCAACACAATACTTGCATGTAGTGAGAAAAAAAAGTGAACTGCAATTTCAAGTCATAAGAGTTCCATTTGCACTGCGGCCACAGGTGCCACTGGTACCTGCCCAAAGTACCGCTGGTACCCGCCAGGGGGTGCCAGGTGAGGTACCTGGTGTCCATTTCTGAGCAAAACAAAGGAGGTACCAGGGTACCGCTAGAGGTACCCGGGTACCGATGGCCATCTTTAGGGTAGTTGGGAGGGATTATCAACATTTATACATTGTGGGCAAAATTCAAGATTTCATGGTCCCACTGTTGGAAACATTTGACCGTATGTGATTTCTCAAAATCTTTTTCTTTTTTTATGTGTATGGTGTGAATCCAAACCAAGATATCTCAAGGTTTCTTTCCTTCACACAGCATCCATTCAAAACATGAACTAAAACATTCTTTTTTAGTCAACCCTGTCACATGGCTACCATTTCAAAAAACCCTTTTTAGATGCCTTTAGACGGGTTATGCAGTGAAAAGGACATGCCTGTAAACAAGCTTCACTGTTTTTGGATCAAGAGTGTTAAGATACCTCTTGCGCATTCTACCAAGTCTAGCAACTCAATTTGATGATCTAACACTCAATCAGTTTTAGCACCCATTGAGGCACCTCTCACTAGAAAACCTGCAAGCAAAACTTACAGACAAGAACCACCTAGATCTAAAATAAGTGAGAGTTGTGTTCACTGAAATTGATACAGAATCCAAAAAAAGGGGAGGACAAAGGATAAAGTTTCAAAAAGTTAAGGAATTGGATTCATGATATATAGATGAGAATGATAGCGCATGTGGGAACCAGAAAAAAGAGATTCATGTGAAAGAGGGTTCATGGACGGATTCTGATTTTGATGTAAGGAACCTCCACATCTTGGTCGTCATCTTCCTCATCCTCGTTCCCATTTCCTTCGGCTTCGATTTTATTAACCATCACCTCGAATCTAAAGTTTTTTTTTTTCACGGAAACAGATCGAAACCAATTGAATGAGAATTGGTAGTCAATCGAAAATCATCATGGCTGGTTCCAATAAAGTTCTCGAGCTTACATCATTGCTTTCACATGTGAAGGGATCGGCTTCTTGGACACTACCTCCACCAATTCGCTCATCCTACATACAAATGGAACAAATGTTACTCGACATCAATTCCCAAACACCGATGTGATCCAAGGCCAAGTAGAATGGATAAAAAATCGTACGTACTTCATTTTGAATCTCTCTTCAACTTTTTTCTTGGCCATGAAACTACTGTAGAGCATCGAGACTCCACTACTCAACATGGTCACTTCTAGTTTTTTCTCTTTCTTGAAATAGTCAATCAGTTCTTGTAAAGTAATATCGTAATCGATATTGAAGCGGTCCCAGAGGGTCCATTCTGTATCGTAATACTGGAGTGCTCGAAAAATCAAAGCCTCGTTAGATCAGAGTGTATCACTCATCAATCGAAGTGCATGAGCAATGCTTACCTTGTTCTTGGCAGCGGCGATCGGTTCGGAGAAGCCGAAGAAGGGCAGGGCTAGATTGACGAAGCCGTTCTTGTAGCACTCGAGCTTATCTTTCTTGCCGATGATCTTGTAGAGCTCGATGCAAACCAACCCGGTGGCAAGAGCAGTTGTTGTGGCGATGGCGGGAATGATCCGGCCGGCAATCAGCTTGGTGCGGTGTTTGTCGACGGGGGCGATCGAGTAATTGGTCGCCCGAAGGTTCGAGGCAGCGGTGATGAAGTCCATGTGGAAGTTTGTGTCGTCATCTTTTTCAAACTCGCATGGGTGGAGTTTGAGACCGGGTAGCTCCTCGGGCTTGGGCAATTTGGCCATCATCTCTGCCTGATCTTCGTCTACATGACATACATAAAACTGAGTATGACTATCACTTCATCTCAATAAAATGAACAGCTTACCGCCATTGGCTTGATTGTTAACCGGCTCGTCATCTTTCACTTGAATCTGCAGACCGGCCCTGGGAGCAAACTCAGGCACAGCGACTGTGCTGACAATCTTGTTGATTGCGGAAGGATCCCGATCACCTTTGATTCCGTAGTTGAAAGCTAGGAGATTCGCTGCTGCAATGATAAATGTCATATGCTGAGGCTAGGAACCATCCTGACTGTCAGTATCACAAACTGGGCAGGGGAGCTTCGTATTTACTTTAGGGCCGGGAACGAGGAAAGCAATTTATTGAGAAGGGAGTGGATTACTTACATCATTGGGGTTGAAACTAATCGGCTCAGGAGCTCGTTTAGGGCCAGACCAAAAGGGGACACCCTCCTTGGTAATCTATTGTAGCACATGTATCCTACCATTAGCACAGGATTGAAGACAGATGAATAAGATACAATGCGTACCAAGTCACGGGGCAAGCTGTGTAACAGCTGTCGGATCTCATTGTTGAACTCCAACTCAAACTTCAATCGAGCCCAACTTACGCAGTCGGCAAAGGTGGTTGGTCGATTCTCGACGAGAAATTCTTTGATTTGGTTGATCTGCTCGATCGGGTTCCCTCCTTGTCTCAAGGTGTCAATGTAATTCGGAATTGTGAGATATTGGTTGATTGTCTCGGCAGGTTTGGTGAAGAATTCGGAAAAGCGCTCCTTTGCCCACTGAAATCATTCAGAAGCAGCTCAAGTATAAGTTTCAGTAGATAACAGATATGAGTAATGATCGAACTACTTGCCTGGATGGTGTGTTCAATGATGTTAGGGAAGCTCTTAACGGTACACATGGGCGCCTCTTTTTCTGGAGGATCTTGTGAAGACGAATAGGACTCGGTCAGATGAGGCAGAACAACCTGCACGTTGGCCTTTGTTCCTAACGTTCCCGACTCCAGGAGGGGTTTCTCGTAATACACACAGCGACGATCCATGTACTGTCTGGCTAAAACGTTGTCGAGTGCATTCGTGACACAATCGAGATGATCGAAGAATTCATCTCCAAAGAGGTGCTCCGTACGATCTCCCACAGCTTCTTGAAAGCTTTGAATCTTTCCCTGGAGGTCTGGATTCATTTCACTAACTGCCCTGGGTGCAGCCTCACTCTTGAATGAACCAAGGTCACGGGGTCGGAACAGGAATTGCCGATTCAGGTTACTCTTCTCAATCGAATCCATATCTGTTACCGATATCTTGCCATCGGGACCAGCAGATAGACCCATCATGGCCCAATTCTTTAACATCTCGCAACCGATCGCACCCGCCCCGACCAGAAATTGTCTGTAGTTGCTAATTTTCTTCTGGAATTGATTTCCAAACACAACGATTTGACCATCATACCTGGATCCGATAGGTTGAGCATCGGCTTCGGTCGGTAATTCAGTGGGAAGAGCCTCGAGAGCATCGAAATATAGATATTGGAACGTCGGGTGAAATTTTCCTGAACAAGCCTTCAAGACTTCTTGGGCGACGTACCCGCCAATTACCGCGGTAATGGGCGCCAATTCTCCCATGGCCTGGTAAGCTAATTCTGTGAGAACCTCCTTCGGGAGTTCCTCATCACCTTGGTGGATACTTTTTGCCAATGCTAAGAATAACTCGGCATCTGCAGGGTTCCGCGGTTTGGGTAAACGGGAATACTTTTCTTCAAACTGCGAAAGAGCTTGAAACCCTGTATGTAGAATAGCTGGTCGATCGAACTTAGCAAAATCGGTGATCAAGAACTCCGGTTGAGACAACGATTCGCGGAGAGATTTCTAATGAAGGACGACATAAGACTTCAGCAAGGCAACTTGGGGAAAAGTAGTTGACTTTGACTGACAAATTGTAGCATTTTGGGTTGTTTGACTTGGTGGAACCATCCACCTTTTTTGTAGTTACCCAGTGATGTAGTGTCTCCGATTGTAAATGTGTATGGACCTACCATTCATCAAATGAGATAATTATCGAGCAGGGATTAGAATTTGAAGTACATAAATCAGTAAACAGTGAGATCAACCAGCAGCTTGGATCTTTAGCTTGTCTGGGCTACTTCGCCCAAAGCAAGCTGGATATTCTCGAATGGTAGGAACTCGGGTACACACCTTTTACAGTTACCTTGCGCGGTTCACCCTGAACAAGTGCGTCCATTCCTTCTACCTCGGTGAATGAGACGTAATCACCATCTTCCAGACCATGCCTCGATTCATCTAAAGTTGTGACCAGTCCTTCAGAGCTCTACAAAGATGTCTCGAATATCCAGTCAGAGCCAGATACCCATTAACAAAAGCTCAAAACCAAGAGGGATCACGGCATACGTTTTCTATTGAAACCACCATGCCAGAAACAGGCTGTTCACCAGTGGTGTCCAAGACAACAAATTCGGGACCGAAGTCGCAGAAGACCGAGCTGTAATAGACCCGACGAAGGAGTATGGGTTTTTTTTTTAGAAAGCTGGGTAAACTGTCACATCACAATAAGAGACCGACCCGAAAAGGCCCCTGACATCTGTTGAGATGAATTGGATTCCGTTTTGATGGGTGAAGTCATTGAACTCCAATTGCTTTGAAAGAGGTGTATTGGTCAAGACTACAACCTGTATACAAACCCAAAGCGGTGAGCGTTTTCTGTGGGTATTTGAATAGCAAAACTTGAATCGAATGAAAACAAACCTGGAAGGATTTCAAGACATCCTTAGTGAGTTCCTTCCCTAGGACACGAACTGGAACGTACGAGTTCAACTCGGCTAATCTTGGCTGTGTCGAATGATCGCGCGGCTTCCCAATGTCTGAATCACGTAGGAAAAACTGGAGCAAACCAAAAAGGAAGAGTGCAATATGCATCATAAGAATCCGCCAGGAGCCCATGAGATTGTAGAGAATGCGTACCTGGGTACCCAAATCGGCCTGGCAAGTCGGAGCGGGGTCATGTATAGTCACAGATTTGACACCAGCTAGACAGATATTTTTGGCTGTAGGATGAAGAATGAGCAGAAAAGACTGGTCAATAAAGACGGAGAGATTTCATCCCTGACGAATTTGCAATTCAAGAAACTCAACCGATCTCGACGCCCAATCCTTTCATGCCGACAATCAACACGTCCGAGTTGGCCATCTTCTGCATGGCTGTGAGGTTGAGTCAGCACGCAAGCATGTCTATCGAGACAAACGAAGAACTTACCATCATGTCCAAGGACATATCTGTTTTTATCATAAGGGGATCAAGAGAAGATCAGTTCAAGCCATCTAGTCGCACTGGGATAAGATGAAACCTGTCACTGACAATTGCCTGGAGTAGAGACTTTCATCGATGGTTGATTGATCGAGTTGCATGTCGACGGGGTTTGAAGAGCTAGCTTCGGGATTGGAAGCTGCCATGATAGCTTTGGTTTCTTTTTGGAGTGGATGTCGCTTGGTGTTGGTTTTGGTGTTGGTGTTTTGATTGATTTTCTGTCCGATCTGATGTTGTATGGAAGTAATCGATGACGATGTCGATCTGCTGGAGGATGAAAGGATGGCAAGCGTCTGTCAGGGGCCGGAGCCCGAACGGGGGGGATCGGGTGGCCGCAGGATACCGAGCCTCTGCGTCTCTCACAGAGGCCTGCAATAGATCACTCATTCTGGTGCCCAAAGGAAACTGTTCAACTCACCTTTTTCATCCAATTTCCAAATGTGATCACCCTTGTGATAAAAATCAATCTGAATTTTAAACTGAAATTCCTTGAGCACAACTCCCCATCCTGATCCAGTTGAATCTCAAAATCAAACTTTTTGGATGATACATTAATTTTGTCCCCATTGGAAGATTCTCCTGGAAAGTCAGTTTTGGCTAAGTTACAGGCTCCATTTGGCAGTCCATTATATCATATAATATCATTCCTGTAGATTATTTCAGGGGACCATAACCAAAATTTATGTTTAGCTGGTCACACTTATGGTATTCAAAGTTGAAATGCATGAAATCATAGAGCGCATACAATTATAATGCATACTTTTTTTTTGGTGGGAGTTTCCCACTTGATGATCGAAACTCCTGCCAAAAAAAATATACATTATGATTTCATGCATTTCAACTTTGAATATGATAACTATATCACACAAAATCCACTGCAATAAGCAGAGGAGCATCTAGCTGTGCAATAATTGGTTTAAGGCTTATCAGCCTTATTCTGATTATCCGGATTCACATGTTTTTACTTATGATGTAACATTTATTAACCAAGTTGTTGTTTTGAGGAACAAATTCTAAAAAAAGTTACAGCTTACAGCCTTACATTGACATGACATTTGAGATTCTTTCAAGGCAAAATTGGATTCATTGTTAATACAGTAATCACCCTTTGAACTACCAACAACTTTATAATTATCAAACATTTTGGTACTTCCTTCTGTTCTATCAATTTTTGATCCAACTTGAAATGCCACAGATGGATAATCATACTTCATGTGTATGTTTTTCTTGCAAAACGTTTTGTGCTACCCAAGATCAAATTCTAAATTAGAGATTGTTCCGTGGTACTTTTTGCAGGTACCTAGTACCGCTTGTGGGGTACCCCTTGCACCTGCCCCGCACCCGTGAGGGGGTGCCAGGTGCGGAACTTGGTACCTATTTTTGTGAAAAATTGAACAGGTACCCCCTCACTTCCCTACCAAAATGACGGTGGCCTTCTACTCCAAGAAGGTACCTTGGCTGCATGGAAACAGGGACTAAAGGATAACAAGAAGTCTAGCCAAAAATCAAAAAGGAAGGCAATAGTTTTGGACAACAATGAAGATTCTTCCAATTAGTTATAAGTTGTAGATAGTTTAAAATTTACAATAAATTATTAAATATGAAAAAATGAAAAAAGTGACTTGGGACTGATGTTTTACAATAAAAATGAAAAAATGGAAAAGTAAGATTCTTCCAATTAGATGTAGATATATTACAACAGATATGAAAAAATGCCAAAAAATTGACTTGTGAGTGACATTTTACATTCAATAAATATGAAAAATAATAATAATAAAGTGACTTGGGACTCTGGGAGTGAAACTATGGGAAAAAGAGAGGGGATATTTTCTTGAAAAAATGAACAGGTACCCAGGTCCGAACAAACAATCTCTATTCTAAATGATCAATGGAGGACTTTCCTTGTCAGCTGGCAAGCAAAACCCAGTTACCCCTTAACTAGTCAACTGAGTATTTTGCTACACCAACTGCACTTCATACATTTCACACTCATGTCACTCATTTTCTTATTCATTTCACTCGTTTCATTATTAACATACTCTACATATGCTTGTATCCAGTTGGCCTTGCCAAGCCAGAATGTTTTTAGACCCCTCTCAGTTCTGAATTAACACCCTAATCAAAACCATGACCAGCTCACATGAGCATCATTTTAACAAGGGTTCTGAAAAGATTTTTTGCCAAAAATTAAGACCTTGGAGGTGCAAATTGAATTCTGAAAGGGTTGTAAATGCTAACAGGAAGTCATCCTGGAGGACTTCCTGTTGCAATTTAGAATGGTTTTTAGACCCCTCTCAGTTCTAAATTGACACTTTGATCAAAACTAAGACCAGCTCACATCATGAGCACCATTTTAAAAAGGGTTCTGAAAAGATTTTTTGCCAAAAATTAAGACCTTGGAGGTGTAAATCAAATTCTGTGAGGGTTGTAGATGCCAATGGGAAGTTATCAAATCTACTAGTACCAGCAAGAATTTAAAATAATTATTCAGATTTTCCTGTGAATGAATAGACTAAAAGTTGTATTTCATCAATACCAGTTCAAAGAAATACAATAAGAAAGAAAGAAAGAAAGGAAAAGTATTACTATAATCACCTAAAAGCAGTAAATGACTAATGATAAGAACAACAAGCGCTTATAAAATAATAAGAATAACAAAAAGAAAGAGTTCTAACAAAAAGAGAGTGATCAATACATGGACGATAAATAAAGGATGAGCCCCAATTGAGACCTACGTGGAATGAGTTCAGGAAGGCAAGGATCGGCGAGTGTCGGTAAGAGGAAGGGATAAGTACTTTGGATGATCAGATGGATCAGATAGGGAAGTGAGTGAACGATGTTCAACGGTAGAGAATGGATGTGAAATCGGTGTGATGAACGGTGTTTGATGGAAGCCAATTTATTTGTGACCAGAAAGATTTAGTAAGAGATGGGAGGAGTGACGAGTGAGAATGAGGAAGAGGAGTGACAAGTGAGAATGAAGAATCAAGTGAGGATGAGGAATTCGAATAAAGTTTTTATTCCTGAGGAGAGGGAAGGAAGTGTTTTGGAACACTTCAAGAGAGTAATAAGGAAAAGATAGAAGAGGATCGAGCGGAGTAGAGACCGCACAAGATTTAGGAGGCTTGAGCGAAATGATGTCATTGCAGGTGTTTGAGCAAGATGACATCACTATTTTGATAGTGAGGGACAAAAGAATAGTCTAAGCTTGATGAATTAAGCTTGGACATCAACATTTCCTCCCACAAGAAACCCTTTGCACTGAGATTCTGATCAACTAGTCATTTGTCCCTGCCTGCATCAGTTAGAAAGAGCACATTTTTCTCCTACTTCTACAATATTCAAATGCTAAGGATGGGGATGAGAAATCTATTTATCCATCAAATATCCACACGTGTTCTCTGTGGATAAAGCAACAATGTCTAAAAAAACACAATGGAAAAATGGCTGGATTTATCCTAAAAATGACATCAGAAAATTTGTTAGATCTTTGTCACACTAGCGGGGTTCTTGATTGAAATTTGATAAATTTTCAAGCTCCTTTTAAGGTGTTTATCAATAATAATTTTTAAATTTGAAAATTGGTGTGGATTGATACCTTATATCATTGTCAATTCAACATGGCCTGTTTTCAGCAAAAAATAAGGAGTCATGTTTTCTAAAGTATGATAGTCATGAGTTCCATGTGTGCTGGTTCTGCCACTGGGGTTGATAAGTTCATGAATATAGGAGTTGGAGTGGCTTTTATGGAGCTGTGGATGGCTATAGGAGGTCCTACAATCCCCATCATATAAACTCCAAAAAGCATATCAGATTGAGCAGGGAAGTAGGCAATATGACTGCTTGAAAACGCCGGCACAGAAATGCTTTACTTGCTTTGCCTCTCCTCAATTATGACCTTTAAAGGAATCTGTCAAGGATTACAGGTGAGCTCAAATGGTAATAACCCCAGGTGGATTGCAAGCTGTTATATCTGTCCAAATAAATAGATCAACTTCCCCCAAAGCAGTGACAAAGATCAGGCCAAAGATGGTCTACAGCGTTGTTTGGTGTCATACATCCATGAGGCTTCGTACCTGATATCTTACATAGCATATCTCGGCCGCTTTCTCAGGATTAACAGTGTACACATATAAAGCTGGTGGAGTTTTCTCTTGGGATTCCGATACGGTTGGTGCAAACTTCATACACAACTCGAGTCTCATTGCCGACACTCATCCACAATCCCTTGAGTGCACGCTGAAGTCGGCCGTTTCGACAAGATTCCAAGGAGCGCCTGGCCTCTGACATGTCCCTGAAAACAACCGATAATCGCCAGCCTGCGGTGGCTCGGAACCGACTGCTCAACTTTTACATTGGCTCGCTTCTATCGAGACCGTTGTTGACCAAGTCTTGTACATCGGCTACCTTATCGTGAGTTTGGTCTGGAGATATCTTTCCACCGATTGATGGGGTCTTTCATTCGTTATCAGAAACTCTCGAGAAAGAACACTAGGGGGTTATAGCGATCTACCCAAGCCAGCGCTTTCCGCCATGATCGACTTGGCGGTCACATGACCATATGTATCGCTTTTCGATGATCCAGGTTCAACTCGGTCTGACTTGAGTCTTCCTCCGCAAGTTTTTTCCAGGAAGTCCTAGCGAGCAAATTTGCGGAGGAACAGCCTACTATAATACCTACAGGATTCAACTCCCTGGACTATCTCCAATCGCTTGGAATCAGCTCGAGGGCGATCAAGCTTACGGCTTACGGTAAGTGTATCTCTTCTCCATGACCAGATCACATCACGGTAGTGCTCTTCCGGAAGATTTCCAGTTCCGATCAAGGAAACAACATCACTCAATCGTATACCACCCCACATTGCTCCCCTTTCGCAGGAGGTTTGATTTCTGCGCCATTGAGCCATGCCCTGATGAAAATCTTACACCGAATATTCCCTAACCACGAATCAAGCGATAAAAGTAAAATTGGGATGATCTTGGCCTCCATGTTAATCACTGGTCCCATCCAGAATAGTGGTAAGTACACATCCTTCCTTGATTCGCTTCGCTGCTCTTTTGTCTTGTGATCATGTGATCCACTCCATTTCCGCTAACTCTCAAATCGCATGCAGTTTATTTGATCGCTATGGGCGCAATCGAAGGCTTGAAATCTCGGAAAGAGATTTTTTTCTTTTGGAAAAAAACGATCGGTATCCTTACCAAAGTCAGTGTTTCTGGTCTTGTTGCTGTTCCCAGCCTCATGATGCACTTCCCTGCTTTCGCATTCGTGAATCCATTCATTGAATCGAATCCTGCCGAGAAAGAAACCGGAAGAGGAAGAGAAGTGAAGAAACACACATTAACATGTTTTTTTTTTCAAACAGATGTCAATAATATTGGGGACATTCTCAACGATTATAGCCAACAGGTTCTTGAGTAAGGAACTATGGGTACCATTTTTCAACCTGGTTGGCTTCGTCTTGGGTACCTACGTCAACTTTCTCAACAAGAAGAAACGAAAAGGACCTGCCAACGATAAGAAGGATCTACATCTTAAATCAACCATCGATCATTCCAAACCTTCATCTGAGGAACAAAATAAGGAACACTATCCGAGACAGTAGAAACACGGGTTCTGCGTTTTGCTTATTATTTGATATCAAGGCTACAAATATTGAAAGAGATGTGTCACACGATTTTGACTTATTTATTCATGGATTAGCATGAACACCCCAAACTATCGTTTTTTAGAAACATCGCAACAGAAGCGATATTGTTGCGAGTGCTTTTTAAGGTTAAAAAAAAAAAAAAAAAAAAAAAAAACCCACCAGGACCCCGGCAAGTGCCTGTCAAACCGACTCATGTAATTCCCAGGAAATTTGGGTTTTGGATACATAGAGAAACCTGGTTTTTCTAATCAAAACTTCATTTAGATACGTCCTACATGAGGATGATTGCAAGCATGGTAGCTCAAAAAAATTGAGAGACATCCAAAATCACTGCCCCTTGCAGTTCATAGCCTGCTGTAGCTAAAAAAAATGCACTTTTTGGTGGGAATACCCCAAAAAGATTCTAGGTTCATGCGGACCATTTGCCAAAAAGAAGGCAAATCCGATACATATCCGATGAATTTCATGAGGCGCATTTTGCAAAAAAACCCCATTTGGATACATGCTACATGAGTCGGTTTGACAGGGACTTGCCGGGGTCCTAACCCACCTATTTTACTGCACCCAAGAAGAATATTTAGGTTTCAATACAGATTGTCAATGTGGGTACATATAGAAAGGATTTTGACTCAAGTGGCCACGAATGTGATATGAACAGAACTTCTACTTTTCCAAAGAAAACAAATACATAGAGAGAAGAAATTGCATGCGCTGAATGGATAAATATTGAACAAGCTTGCATGATCAACAGAATTCAAAATTCTCAAAGCAAATGGATAAATTAATGGATTTACAACAGGATTCAATAATTGACTTATGTCCGAAGTGTAGATTCAAAAATGGTGAACATCGTAGCTGTAGACTTCATTTGTGCAAAAGAAGGTCGAAACTCCTAGTTGGCAATTTTCTGGGTGCTTGAATTTAGAAAGGGATGGAGTTTGATATTGTGGAAACCGGTACGAAAACGCTGGTAGAGGGTGGCAAAATCGGCAGGCATTTCTTCCTCAAAAATCAATGCAGTATTTGAGTGTTCAGGATCTATTGTGCTGATCTTGGAGAGCAAGGACATTTCGACCGGGGTTCGGCTCCAAATCCTGTTCAACAAACGGACGTCATCCGTGAAACTGGCCAAGGCACTCAGCTTCAAAGCGTAGTTCATCCCTTCAACTTCGTTCGAATTTCGAGTGAAGAAATCTTGCGCCATCGTATCATTCAATAATAGATAGCTGATTTGTAATGTGAAGAGTTCCTGAAGTTTTTGCTTGGGTATTTTTTCTCTGATGGATTGTTGAAGCCATTTGCTTTGAGGTTTGTCGGTTGACGTTCTCCAATCATTCCACAACAAGCGGATCCCATCAAGAAGCAGGGTGGGGTCAAATGTATAAGGATTGAATGGGATATGCTCTAGCGTGGTGTCTTTCACCCAATTCGGTAGAGCATTCTCATGTCTGGGTATCGGAAAAGCGTACCCGGAGCCGTCGTAATCTGATTGAAGACGGAGAGATTGCAATTGGGTGTTGAGAGTGACTGGGAAAGCGTTAGGTATTAGTGAGGGTCGCGATTGTAAAAACACCATATTTGTTAAACTTGCTGCCATATCCGCACACTTCTCGTCATCTGTGAAATAAGCGGTCAAGGCTAGAATGAAAATGGTGTTGGGAATCGCGGGTATATCCACACTCCTAGCCACATCGTTTGGACCTTTCGAAAGGATAGCTGAAGCATAGGTGACAAAGTTTTCGGAAAGCTGGACGAGTTTGTCGACCAAGGGCCTGACGCTTGGATCTTTGTTGATGTGCTGCAGTTTCATCTTTTCCAATTCGTCACCATTCAAGCTCCACAACCGCCAGTCTGCAAACCCACAATTCACATCCAAACGACCTTGATCGCAACTCGAGGGACCTCTGGCAATTGATTCATCTATGCTCTCCAAGAACGAGATGATGCCTTTCATCCTATTCACGGAACGTCGACTTCTAGCTTTCTCGGAATGCTCCTCTTGACTCTGATCACCGGAGAAGAGCCTCAAGACCCACCCTGCGCGAATGTAATCGGGACTACCTTGAACGGGATGATTTCTTGCTCTATGGTGGCTGGTGGCAGGGGTGCTTTGTACTGTCCGGCGGATCGTACCATAAGACTTTGAGGTTAAGATATTTTTCTCCATTACTTCCCAGTCGCCAATCTTTTTGTCTAGGTTGCGGCCTCGATCGATGGCACCCAACCTCCATAATAGTTCCAACTTGGATCGGCGTCCATACCGCATGTCCGGAGAGTATATCTCCGTGGATGTGAATCGAAAGCCAATCTGTGGTTCATCCCTGGTCTGTGGTCTGAAGCCCCTTTCCTTTAAGTTGATCGGCTCATTCTGAGCTACTGCTTGTTCGTTGTCCAGTAAGCGTGACATAGGAATAATCACATGAGAAGGTGGATCAGGTTGCAAGTCTGAATCTCGCAGAGAGCTGGCGAGTGAAAATAGGGAGGCCGGAGTGAAGAAACAGTTGCCATCCAAGGGAAGAATCCATCGGGCTTCGGGAATCATTCTTCCATGTTCGAGCGCGAAGTTCCGGCCGCCATTCTACATTTTGCATGTCGAGTTCAGATGAGTTAGAGTGAGATTACTACTGAAAAAAAGAAATTCAGATATGAAGAATATCTGACTTACATTGTTCATTGCGTAGAGGTTTTTGGCATGATAAGTAAAGTCTAGAGCCCTCCATCTATCCGAGTTACTACCTCTGTATGAACTAGTTGAATTTTCCGTGGGGTTTTGCTCTTCGATGGCTTTCGGAATGGTTGTCGATTCCGCGGCTTCCTTGTCTACCCCCCAGGTCGAATGGAGTCCACTATCCCAGCCAATATCAGGCAGTGCATTGAAGGGCTGGGATCGGTAGGCGTCCGTAACAAATGGGTTGACCAAAATCTGACCCTCTTCGACGCCGTGTACTTTGAGAATGTTCTTGACGAGTGAAAGTTGCGTCTGATTGGCAATCCGGTTGAGTACGAAAAACTTCTTGACTCTTAATTTGTAGCCCCTCAGATCCCTGTCTGAATCTGAATCAGACTCTGCGTTGATGTAACGAGATATTTCTTCGAAATCACCTTCATGCTCAAGTAGAAATTGAAGGTTTGTTAAAGTTTGTTTTGGAGAATGCCTTGGTGGCAAATCGTTTCCGATGATACGATAAATAATGAGTGCATCGCGCTCAGGGGCCTCAATGATAGGAATCGGCATGTGGGTGGGCCCAGTGGATACATCGAGGTCGTATGATAGCTGATCGATGTTGATCATAATTATACCAAAAAGAAAGAGAGTGCTAATGATGAAGGAGGCGGCAAAGAAGACAAGTTGTCTGATGCGACGGCGCTCTTGGCGGGTGAGTTCAAGCTGAATTCTGCGATCCCATCTGCTGGCTTTCCTTCCGCACATTTCAGAGACGAATCCATGGCGAAATTCGTCCTTGGCCTGTCGCTGAGATTTGTTGAGTGAATGTGAGTGGATGTGCGCGCCAATACCATCTGAATGTATCTGAGACCAGCTTGAGTCGAATGAGTCAAAGCTGTCGTCCAGACGAGGAAAATCGGGCTCCTCGCCTGAATCACTTGACTCCGGTGCAGAATTCGACTGAGACAAAAGCGAACCTTCAGAAGCACTCGAGTCCAGACTATCCACGATTTCATAGTCCGTTAACGAAACTCCGAAGAATCCGATGTTCTTTGGCGCGTCTTCCTGGTGTGCCTTGAAACTTTCGTGGTATGAGCCTCCATCTCTGCCACTTGAGTTCTTCCGTGTTAGCCCTCTGACGGAAAAGGAGGAAGGGCTGATGCCGTGAATTGAAAGATCGACATAGCCTGGGGTCTGGAACAACGAGCTGGTTCCTGGGCGATCATAGAGGCTTGCTGGTTGATATGACCCGACGGACTGTATGGCTGAGCCGGGGGAGGATGTCCGGAGATCTGTGCCATGGGTCGCACTGTTGTTGTTCTGGTTATAAGTTTGAGATAAAGAGTGTATGCATTGGAGCTGAGATGAAGGAGAAGCATTGCCTGATGTTAAATTCAATAAATAATGTTGCGCTGAGCCTGGTGGACAATTGCACTGAGACTCTAATTGCCCGCGTCCTTGCCTTAGCCTAAGATCTAAAATCAGAAGACAGTCCTCTGATCAATACAAGTAACATTCCAAGGTATAGGAGGAAAAGATCTATGAGAGCGTATAGCTTACCTGATCGATCCGGATATTTCACAGCTGTAGTTGGCGAAGGAGGCAACATGGTTGAAACCCAAATATAGGATCAAGTTCACGATGAGAAAGTCTTGGCGATTATAAAAATCTTGGCCGCACCCCTTGTTTATGACCGTACTCGTAGGAGGGGTGGGTGGATTGAACTTCACTTCCTGCCTTTGGGACGAAAAGAACGCGATAGGAAACCGGTAGATGCTGGCGATGTCTGGGCAAGCGGGCGTGGTGAGGAAAAATAGTGCTCAATGATGCTCAAGAGCATCTTTCCTAAGGGTAATTTCTAACTGATCCGTGCGCATAAGCCTTTAGCAGTCCACAATTCTATTGATAGCAGAATCAAGCTTTGTCCTAATGTGCATGGACAACAGTACTCGCCGCCTCACCTGGATTGGGTTCCTTCTGTCCATTAACCTCCATGGCACACCGCGGCTGGCTCTTTGGCTGGCCTGCGTTGGCGCTGGCTCACCATTACCCAGACTATGTGTGTAAGTTATCAACCATGCAGATTCTCATTCTTCTCAAGATCAGCTGGTCTATCTCTGGTATATCAGCTCACGGTATGGGTCGAGAACCTAACAATGGGGAAGTCGTCATTGACAACGCAAACTTTGGATCTAATGCCATCAAGGTCGTCAGCGATGGTATTGATGAATCGTAATTCATCGGTGGAATCTCCGGCATGAACTGTTCATGTGTATTATCTCCCAAACTTGGCCCAAGTCCTGCTGCTGGCCTTCATGGCGCAAATTTTCTGTTGGGTGGGAAAGGTGGATTAAACAAGAAAAACAGTAAAATCTTATTCCTCATGCTCGATGTATACCCAGTCGAGTTCGTGGGCTCCGGCTAGAGCCGTCTCGTGTCGGCTGGATGTGAAATGTCGTAGCAGTCGCTAAGGGCGGCGAGCCCCACGGGGTCTCTGTCTCGACCGCGCCGATGGCGGCTCAAGTCCCGTCAACAAAAAAAAACTCGCTGAAAGCCCGAAGCCATGAGGTTCAAGCGTGCTTCAAATGCATCCTGGCATCAAATCGATTGGGAAAGCTGAGGAGGATCAAGGCATTGAAAAAAGCATGGTATGTAAAAAAGTGGCACACCACAGTGTTATCGTGTGTAAGGCAAATTGAACTGCAGCGTCGAAAAAGTGGAATGGCACAAGATGGATGAAGAGAACAAAATGATAAGCAATAATTTACAACCAGGGTCATGTCTTGTGACCCAAAGCAAAATAAACACATTCTTTTTTTTGAAAAAATGGAGCTTGGATTCGACATTGCGTGCCAGAGACGTTGGCGACAAATGTGTATGGATTTTAATCCCTACTTTTTTGCTTATAGATCAGGCCATAACCCGTAAACGGTACTGGTGATGTTGTAACTGTAAAGGCCTGGAAGGCTAGTGTCACTTGGGCGATTAGGCCACGCGTTCACTAAGCCATCCCACAATTCAACTTGTGAAAAATGGACTGCTTGAGAGTGGGATTCAGACACGGGCTTAGGGTCTAAATGGTGAGAATCTGGCTCTGAAGTCGCGCTATCTGCAGGTTTAGCCTGGCTGAGGGCAACCTCTGGCCCTTGAACAAAGTATTCGACATTCACCGAATCTTTGCACCAAGGATATACCCGGGTTGTGATGATAGTGCGCTCATTAGCATGGACCTCGAGGACGCTGTTGTCAACTACGATCGTCAGGTTCAAGGATTCGTAGTTGGTGTTGTTTGTGACAGGGTTCAAGACAGGCCAAAGTCTGTGCTTGGCTTGCTCAGTTGAGTTTCCATCTAAACAGGAGTGGAACTGAGCATCAGTGATTTCAAAGATTTAAACAGTGACTATTTCCAAGATCCAAGTAACTTACATGATGGAATGGTCGAGCTATGAGATCGGTCAATGACCAAGTATTCTTGGTTGGGATCATAGAAAATATCTGTCCGTTCAAATTTTCCCGACAATATCCTAAATCCCCCACGTAAGGCCGAGGGTCGTTTTAACGGTTCATCGGCCGGGACATGCTGTTCGGGGAAAAAATCGAGTTGGGCGCGGATGACATAGTAGCGGTCCTTGGGTTGCTTCTCAAATGCCACGAGGCTAGTCGGGAGACCACCCTCTTGATGTTGTGCGACAGATGTGGAAGTGATGTTTAAGGCACGATCATTTAACTTCGTGACCTCCGAGCGGTCGTAGAATGCGGCCTTAATAGCAGGTAGGATCCGTTGGCCAAAGGTAACAACGGAATGACTGCCATCCTTTTCAATTTTTGTAGTCCAGCTGGGGGCATGCTCTGGAACTTTGAGTGCACCAGGGTGAATGTTGCGGATAACTTTGACAAACATCTCCCTAAACAATGTGAAAGCTCCTTGTGCCCCTCTTTGGTGAGTCAAGACATTAAACTCGTCGTCTTCCTGTATTTCAGAGTCTTGTGTTAGGTGTTCTTAGGAGGTCACGGACTGTCAGGAATTTTACTCACGTATACCCAACCCACGATTAATTGACGCTTCCCTGCTGAGAACTGGGCAAATGCATATGCTCGCCCCCAGTCAACAACTCCAGAAAAATCGACCTCTCCTCTGACATGACCACCCGTGACGTTGTAGTTCCAATTAACCGCATGCCAAACGGGCCAATAATCCATGTGTGTAAAATTGCGTGCACCCTCTGTTCCAGTTGTGAAGATGTTTAACTGATTTGTGACGTTCGATGAGTCGAAATCCGGAGCTAAACCTTGCTCATCAATCGTACTGAATCCAGTTGCCTCAAAGTTGATACCATTCCCGCCGGTCCATTCACTAGTTTGATTGTATTCGGCAGTGAATGATAGGATGGGACCGAGGTAAGTCCAGTCACGGAGGTCGTTTTCTTTAGTCTGTCTATAGAGGAATACCCTGGGTCCCCCGTTTATTGGGTCTGCCTTTACGCGAATGCCACCACTCAGAAGCAAGTATTTGTCCCCTCTGGGCTTTTGCTCGTTAGAATCTGGGTAAAGCTGATGAGCATTGGAACTATGATCGTAAAACTTCGAGAACTCCTTGGATTCAAACACAAATGGATCCCTGAAGCCCGATAGATTTTTCTCGGGCCAGTGGTCTGAAACGCACAAGAAGAACGTAAAAACCCAAATTTCCAAGAGATTCAAAACGATATGAGAAGGCCGTGACTCAGCAAGGATCACTGACAAATTATCGGGTTGCCGCTTGCTCCGAAATTCAACTTGGTCCATGTATTGCCATCATCTTCCGTGTAAGCGACACTCTGAGTTTCCACGCCTTCAACTTCTGGTGGCTCACATCGAGGGGCAAACTCGCCAACATAGGCTGAGGTGTAGATGAGAGTCGGATGTCCATTCCATCCGTCTTTTACCACAACGCCGTCAAAGACACCTCGAATATCATATATCTGGGATGGACTCTGGTGTAAGAGGATACCAATTTCGGGCTTTGTCAAAATTATAAATCAAGGGAAAGAAATAATTCGCGGCTTTATTATATCTTACAATAGTAACCGGGTCTTCCCAACTTCGATCTGGATTGATTTACAAATGTGAAGATGATGTATCAACACTTGAGATATACCTCATCCATCCAGCGGATAAGAAACTTACAATCATCGAACTCGACAAAATCACTTGTCGAAGCTGAGCACTGCGAAATATTTGCCCACTGTAATGATTTTATGTCAGTTCATGACTGTAACACAAATATAAGAGATTGCCCAAGATTGACGACATTTGTTTACTTACACCCAAGTGCTGTGGGCTACATTGATAACCAACATGAAAGTTACCATTTCTTGTTTGGACTAAGCAGAAAAAAAGACGCAAATTTGATTCCATTGTTAATTCCTGCAAAAATGTGGTTTTGGACTTACACATTCCCATTGGATCATTCATCCAGCCCCTCGGAGCAATCACGCGTGCTTTAGGCCTCCACACATTGAACATGGACGAATTTCGACAGCTTACGAGCTCTTGAAGATCAGGTGGCTTCGATCGGTCCATACGGCATATGGTACCATTGTTTAGCAGATTGTGGAAAGCATTGTATGAAGACAGAAGAGGTGTAGTCTTGTGAGCACTGAAACTATCAATCGCATTTTGATTAAACCAAAGCCGCTGATTAGAACTCCCCCCTGAAAGGCACACAGCCAGGTCAATCCAATTTCCGGCGAGAATTAATGCAACTAGGCGATTCACCCGCTTGGGGAGAAGTGGAGGATGGTCACCCATAGCAGTAACAGGAGTCAATTTGATAGGAAAAAGTAGTCGCTCAACAGGATGCAGGGATTTTTTTGCCTGATGAACCTCAGATATAAGAATCCAGTCAGACTTGGAACAAACATCATTGTGTGTAGGAAAGAAACGGAATCGGGTTGAGCTCCATTGTCCCGACTGACCAAAGACTGCGAATTGCGGGATCGATCAAACGCGATTTATCCCAGATTGATACACGCTCCATGGAATACGAAAGACCACAAGCTGGGGGCAGTCCTAACTTGAACCTCAACTCGACCTCAATATCGCTCAAACATTACCCAGTGCGCCCGCCTACCTCCGATCATACAATAATAATGACAACATGAGCGCCAGCATGAAACGCGTATATTTGATGAGGTCCCGTAAGACTATTTCGCCGAGGCGATGCAAATTCAAAATACATGCCCGCAGTTAGGTGTTGGCTAAGCTTTTACGAGCACTCCTAGAGAGCTCAGTTATGAATTCAGGATGTTTGACATGAGGAAAAATCAATCACGTTGTTGGCTAGATAGCCGCAACTCAAACTTCGGTCTCAAACTTAGTGAAAGGGAGGGTCAATTATACATCAGATGCGAAAAGAGAGCGGGCTTGAGGCTGAGCCAAGATTGTTCAGGCTAAGTCCAAAATTGGACGCTGCGGGTTTGTGACGCCGATCAATAGGATTGGTAACAAATGTAACTGCCCAGAAAACCTATTTTCAGTTGCCTGATGAAGGGAAGGAAGAAAATGAACTCTGAAGTGGGTCTGGTTAGGAAAAATTTCAGGATGGGTAAGCCTCATCAAGAAAATGAATTTTAGCTTGGAAGGAAATAATTAAGCTGACATACCTTTCAACTCTTCATCCCTAAGTCTTTTCCCATCAGCCTAGATGAATTTCATAGCGGTGGATAAATACCCAAAGAAGTGGCCATTCATTGCTGGTTTAAAGTGGCTAGTTTCTTCTATTTTACGCGAATTCACAATCATACCAAGAGTAGTTTGTTCCTTATCTCACAATAGATTTCTGCACATCATATCAACGGTGAAACCAATCCAATCCAGTACGGTATTGGCCGATTTATCGGATCAGATCAATTTTTCAATACCAGGTATCAAAAAATAAGGTATTGGATCACCCTAGCAATCCAATCCCGTGGTATTGGATTGGGATCAGGATTGCATTGCAATCCTGATCCAACACCCAAAAGCTGCGGGTCGCGTGCCTCAAGGCTCATGCTTTGGTATCATCCAAAGTGTAACCAATCCAATCTCGGATTGGATTGAAAATAGCGTATTGGTATTGGATCACTCCACCCAATCCCAGTTGTCCAATAAATTGGGATTGGATTGGAGATTGATCCAACACTGATACCCAGTATTGGGTTCATTTTTGATCCAATCATTGTTGATCATATTTAGGATGAAAAATCATTTTTAAACCTGATTTTTATCAGGATAATATCTATGATCATGTATGTAATTTATGCATGGAAGGATTTATTAGGGGGGTTCACAATATATATTCATCAAGTTTTTAATTTTAAGGTTCTTATCAACAAAATTTCAGAATTTTGACAAGATGTGCAGATTTTGGGGTTTCTGAATAATCAGAATAGCTTTCTCACTTTTCATAAAGTTGTTGAAAAACAATATAAAATGGGCTTTGAATATTTTTTAAATTTCTATTGTGAACCCCCCTATTAGCCCAGTCCAAATTAGCCAGTTCTGATGGCTGATGACCTTGCAGTTAAAATTTGCTGATGGTGATTTTTTTTCTGGATGGATCTGGAATAATTTGGGGGACTCTGGACTATATAACCAACAATTGATATTTTTCTAAGCATTAATGATTTGCTGATTGAAGCCAGAAAATTTGCTGATGGGCATACTTGGTATTGTGAACTGGGCTATTCTGAAGGGCAGTTGGAATAATCAAATGTCTGGGATTAAGGATCAGGAGACTTGAGTTGGACTAGAGGCCAATAGGATGCCCAAAAGAAGGATTTCAATAATCAAATCATTGGTCGTACTTATAAGAACTATTGGACATAATTTCACCTCCTTTTTTGCTTGTATGGGCCTGAGATTCCATTTCAAGTATTGGAGCTTGGCAAACACAATTGGGAGTTGGTGTGGATGCTGTAATGGGTGGAATTGAAGCTATGTGAGGTGTTGATCAGAAATGTATGGTATGGAATTAAAATCCCATTTTTCATGATTTATCTCCCTCCCTCAAATTCTCATGTTATCAAAAGCAACCATCACCAAAGCCAGTTTTTCACCTAGAATGAAGAATCTTAATAACAGATCTCTCCACTTGTTTTTGATATTTGTGTAGAAGACAGGTGCAATGCCCACATTTCAAAATTCACTCTTATAGGTTTTTTTTGGATTACTGGGTGTTCCAATTGATGAGTTGACATGTTGGATGACTGCTCAAATCGACCACCGCACTTGATGAACCAGGGGACTCCCCTGGTTCATCAAGTGCGGTGGTCGATTTGCATTGTGTGCCTCCGCTCGCTGCATGTTCGGTTGGCGCCCCGCGCAGGAAAGCAGGGGATGTCACAGCCTTTCTTGCTGAACTCGCCCCGACTGTGACGTCAATCGAAGCCGCCGAGTCTCTTAAATTTTAATGAACCCCTGACTCCGAGCTTAACTAAGCCTCTCGATCGGAGGGTCCCGAAGGGACCCCGCGTCCCTGCGGGACGCTCTCCGAAGGAGGGGGCCCTCCGGGCCCAGGGAGGGACTTGTGTTAAGTTCGCCCTGACTCACTCTCTGTCGACTCTGCACACCAACTGCTCGATATTAATTGGACCTCGATACTCGGGATATCGATGGCAAGCTGATGAAAATTGAAAATTAGTGAACATCTGCATCGATATAACCACCAGTCTCACAGCATACTGTAACTCGTGCTCGCAAGGCTTCCTTTACTTGAGCTCCCGTATTACCAGCCTCACTTGGCTGTTTGGCAGACATGGTGCTTGAAAGTGTGGTCTCCTCTGTAGGCTTAATTTATAATTTGTTCCCATTCTAATCAAGCCTGGCCATTCAAAGAAACCTGATACACTCTGGCCCAGGTGCTCAACCCAAGTTTTATCCGCCTACGTCGAAAACTTTCAATCCCAAGCAGCTCAACGTTGGGATATGGGGTGGTGATATCAAACTCAAGTCAGTTGACCACTCTTCGTCTCGTCTCATCCATCTGATTTCCTCCCTTTGCGCTTTATGCTCTTGTGTATTTGAATCTCACCTGTATCTTCATTTCGATAATCAGGGATTTGAAGCTTAAGAAAGGCGCATTGGACAAGTTCAGGTTACCTGTAGATGTGCTTGATGGATCTATCAGTAGTTTGGTTTTGACGGTACCGTCCGTGAAGCTTTACTAGATACGAATAAATTTCGTCTTATGGTCACTGATTGGCCCCTTTTCTCTTTTTTCGCCGCACCCCCAGATGGACGGCCTTAGGTGTAAGTTTGGCTGTATAATTAGACACCAGCTTTTGCTAATTGAAAATCTTGTCAACAATTTTTACACAGAGTCGACCCGTGAAAGCAGTCATCGAAAACATTTATCTGTTGGCTGTACCCCGAAGTGAAAACAATTTTGATTCGGAAGAAGATGAGAAGAGGAAACAGGCGTCGAAGATGGAAAAGCTCAAGAATTCAGAATTGTTACTCTCACCAACTGCCGCAACCACCGATAACAGCGAAGAAGCAAATAAGAACGAGTCGTTTGTTGCCGCAATGACAAACAAGATTCTTGACAATCTGCAACTAAGAATAAAAAACGTTCACATTCGATACGAAGACAAGCTCTCAGTTCCCGGCCATCCGTTTTCTGTCGGGTTTACTCTGGCAGAACTCTCAGCCGTATCAACAGACGAGAATTGGCAAGAGAGCTTTATCGTCGGCTCCAAAACTGGTGTCCACAAGCTTACAAAGCTTGATTCATTAGCAATATACTTCAACACCGATTCGATTTCACTTGCCAGTCTTGACAACCCAGAAGAATTTCAAGAACGATTCACGAACATGATAGCCAGAACCGAAACATCAGACTCAGACGCAAAGCCCAATGTATTACCTGATCATCAATATGCCTTGAAACCTGTCAGCGGTGAAGGAAAACTGATACTCCGAAAGCATCCAACAAATGAACTAGCCAAAATCAATTGCGAGTTGACTTTCGAAGAATTGGCCTTTTTGATTGACGCAGACCAATACCGAGATGCGCTTTCATGCCTAGACCTATTCCATTTCTATACGAGACATCGAGAGTACCTGAGATTCCGGCCGAGTGAACAGGATATGACCGACAACAAAGCCAAAGCTTTGTGGTCTTTCGCCCTCGCGGTCACCAAGCACGAAGTACATCAAAAGGCGTACAAATTAAGCTGGGATTACCTGCGTCAAAGAAGGGATGATCGCAAAATGTATATCGGACTGTTTAAAGCGGTCCAACAAGGCACCCTTCCAGAAGATACTGTCAGTCTGGCTGTTTTTCTATCTTTATAATTAGGGCTGTGTTGTGATGTAAGTCCTGATTCAAAATTTTGGATCAAAGCCCGAGTTGATGGAACTGGAACAAAGGCTCGATTATCAAGACATCAGATTCTACAGATCTTTGGCGAGATCAGAGATGCGCAAAGAAAGGATAACGGCTCAAAAAGGAGAGATCAATACCAATGCAGCTGCGACAACCGGTTGGATGGGATGGATCTGGGGCGGCGGTCAAGCTAATACTGAAAGCGGACACGATTCGGGACAAACCGATGGCGTCTTGAGTGAAGAAGAAAAGAAACAGCTTTATGATGCCATCGAATGGGACGAGCGAGATGCCGCGTCTTCTGCTATCGATCTGCCTCGAGATGCGATGCTAATGAATATTCGTACCGAGCTCAGGACTGGATCGTTCACCCTTCGTTCAGGAAAATCACCAGGAGCTTCAACTCAAGGCGGCTCGGGGCATAACATCATATCTCTCGTATTCGATGGCTTCTCAGCTGATACTCTCCAAAGGACCGAGAATATGGAACTGAGTCTTAGCTTGGCTGGACTTCGGGTCTATGATGGAACTGTCAAAAATAGTAAACATCCTCAGATTGTCAGAGTCAAGGAAATGCGGTCAAGAAGACCAGGTGGAAATCGTAATTCTCAAGCCCTGCAATCCAATCCTAATGCTACCGGCGATCTACAAAGCAAACCGACCGAGTCGGATCCGTTCTTTTTCCTAAAGTTTGAGCACAAGCCCCTTGATGACCGAGCTGACAATGCCATCACACTCAACATGAGACACATGGAGATCGTTTATCATCCCAATTACTTAGAAGACGTAACTAAATTTTTCCGCCCGCCGGCTAGCCAACTGGAGTCTGTAGGGGCGCTTATCGACGTTGCCAGCTCAACACTCGAAGGCATTCGTCAAGACACAAGAGCGGGCCTTGAATTTGCTCTACAGACCCATAAAACCGTCGATATCAAGGTTGATATGAATGCGTCAGTGTTTGATAGTATCGATCTGTGTGCGTCATCCCTTAGCTAACATCTTCATGCCGCAAATTCTAGTCCAATCATCATCATTCCGCAGGATGTTACTAGGCACGACTGCCATCATATAATACTTGATGTTGGTCACATTGCCGTTTCTAGCAATCTAATGTCACAAGAACGCCTCGAGACGATCAAAGCTAAACAAAATCGACAATATACAAATGACGACTACGCCCAATTGGAGTCGATGATGTATGATCAATTTCATGTCGAATTAACGGACACTCAAGTAAGCTAATCCTCCAAAGTTCTCGGCAATTTCAACTTTCTAATCTCATTCCGATCAATCATAGCTCCTGCTGGACAAATCCTTCGAGAAATGTCTCGTAGCTTTGGACGAACCAAGGGGACATGAAGAAGCACACCTCATCGAGCGGATTTCGATGAGTTTTAACGTGTTCAACTGTATGGTCGATAATGCCCCTAACCTCACCCGTTTCAAAGTACAAGGCGACCTACCTGAACTCCGTGTGAACTTCTCTGATCGCAAATATAACATTGTCATGTCCATGATCGACGTTGCTCTACCAAACTTCAAGGATGAATCTGAGACTGAAAAAGCGTCCGAAAATGACAAGCATGAAGAGACTGCTCTCAAAGCGCCAATTAATCAAAACAAGTTAGCGCGAAAGCCGAAAAAACAGTCGTTTCGAATGCCGGCGTTCTTCTCACATGAAGCTAGTTTGACCTATGATCTTGGCGACGAAGAGCGCCCGCCACACCATGTGCGCGAAGTCACTAATCCCGGGGAGGATGACGAGTTTTTTGAAGCGCCTGACTTATCGCAGGCTGAACAGGTATTGTTGTACCCCTCAATAAGCCTGACATCAACAACTATTTGGCTGAAACGTATTTCTCAATATAAAAGACTGTTAATTTTAGGCAAAATAACTTTCAACTCCAGTTTACTGTCGGAAAACTCATTGTCGCAATCTCAAAAACCCACCCCGAAAGCGGCGAAGAGTCAAGACTTGTTGATTCAGTTTTGGAAGGATTCTACTTCGGTTTGAGCTTGCGTAATTTTGACTTGGTTGTTGAGATCACTCTTTCGTCGATGTACATTGCTGACCAAGTGGCGCAAAAAACGAGTCACATGTATCCTGCTTTCAAGAACTTGGTCACTTCTGAAGTCCTTGAAGATCCACAAGCTGAGAAGAAAGACCTGGTCAAATTCAAATACACTCAAGTCCAAACCGACCACCCCGAATTTATGACGCTCTACGAGGGTATTGGTAAAGTAAGTGAAAAGTAATGTATGGCGACTGCTTTGACATAGCAATAAATCCACTGATATCATATGCGTAGTCTGTTGATGCAGATTTGTCCACTATCAACATCGTCGTAACTCGCCCCACGATTGTGAGTTCGACTTCAATTGTCTGGCTGCCGATTTTCAAATATTCATCACATCATTCTTTTCTTCTGCGCCACTCAGCTTGAACTCTTTGATTGGATTATGAATACCTTCACCGATACAGATTCTAGCCCTAGCGCATCCGAGGCCGCGCAACTTCCTGATCGTCCAGCTCTAGCAGTCGATCAGTCTGCATCTGGTTCGGCCCTTGACAAAATAAGAGTGAAGGTCAGGATGCGAACCATCGCATTTTTATTCAACGATGACGGACGTAGACTGGCGACTCTATCATTATCTTCCGCGGATGTTTCGGTTTTGTTGAATGGGCCGACAATGCGTATTAATGCGCGCTTAGGCAATCTGACTTTAGAGGATGACACAGTCGAATCTAATAACGCCAAGTTCCAACGTCTAGTGGAAATCCAGGGCGATGATTTAGCAAATTTCCAGTACGAGACATTCTTAAAAGGAGACAGCACGTATCCAGGGCACGATTCGATGGTCTATTTGAGATCCGGATCAATTCAATTCACCGTCGTGGAAAGTATTTGGCATCGCCTACTAGTATTCTTTTCTAAGTTTGCTCAGATGAAAGCTGTTATGGATGCCGCTAGTGCAGCTGCGCGCCAGCAAGCCAACGATTTATCTCAGACTACCACAAAGATGCACTACGATATTTTGATCAGAACACCCATTATCATATTTCCTCTCGATGGCAACTCGACAGACTCATTGATCGCATATTTGGGTGAAATTAACGCTTCCAATTCCTTTTCAGGAAGCGGAGATGAACTAGTGACTACGACCAGGGCGGGGCTTCACAACATTCGCCTTACTTCTGAGCTTTCTCACGAGGGCAAATCAAACACTTTGGAAATATTGGGTGATGTTAATATCGATTTGATGATGGCCACCTTCACCTTAGCCGAGCGATGCCGTGGTAGTAACCCATCACCTGATAGTGATGTAAGTCTGGAATCCACTTCCAGCCAACTGGTCTTACATAACGTTGATGTATTCAAACTTTCACCTAACATTTGCAGATTGTGGCCCAAATGTCAGACGTGAAGATCAATTTAACCCAACCACAATACTTTGCTTTGTTAGCTCTTGCGTCCTCGATCCCCAAAATACTTGATTTGAGTGAATTGAATCAAGATTCAACACGCCCCAAGCCTGTGTCAAATCCCGATTCTCGCCTTTCGCACCCCAACACCAAGTCCGAATTCTCCAAGCCTCGCTTGATCGAACAAAGCTCTCAAGTATCTTCAAGTTCGACTTCCAAACAAGCCGCTGTAGCAGTTTGGGTCACAATGGAACTGGCTTTCACAGTAACTAATGTAACATTGGAGTTGTTTGATGCCACAATTACGCCTTCTGAAACTGAGCGAAACAACAGCTTGGCTAAGTTTTCGTTGACTGGCATTCGCGCCTTTTCGAATACCAAGTCTGACGGATCAATGAAGGCGGAAATGCTTCTAAAAGCTCTACGGACGATTGACACACGTGCTTGGAAGGCTACCAAGTTTCGTGAGATTGTCCCCGTCGCCGAGCATGATAGTGACCAGCTGGCGCTCAGTTACAAACAGACAGAAGCCTACAGCTGTGTTAATTTGGAACTCGATTCTCCAAACTTGATCCTCTCCTTGGATTTTCTCTTCGCCATTCAAGCATTCCTTACCGATTCAAGATCCCTTGTCAATCCGGCAGCTACTGAGTCGCCCCAAGACCTCTCCAAGTCGACACCCTCGGGAAATCAACCAACATCGACTTTCCATTACTCTGTTAATGTGATCCGGCCGAAGTTGACAATCATCTCAGACCCCGAAAAAAGTGATAGTGATTCTGTTCATCTCATTATTGACAAATTTTCAGTCAATCAACAACAGGTCTTGACTGCCATGGTAATAGACATGTGCATGTCCTTGGGAACGATGAATGATCTTCAGAACGATGTCAAATTTCTGGATGCATGTACGATGAGCTTTTCATTGACTGATGTACCGCAAGATGGACACGCCCAGGTTTCTATGCATGCCCATACTACACCGCTGATTCTTAGGCTGTCGTATAGAGATTTCTTATTGGTATACTCTGTGTATTGCAAAGCTCTCGATTTCTCTCAAGTTGACCCATCAGATAAACAAACAGCACAAGAATCTGGGCTCGAGAACAAGGATCTTCTGCCGAGGTCACCCTCTGTGCTCTCATCAAGCTCCCCAACTCCCACTCACACTCCTGAAAAGGTTTACCTTTACGGCTTCCTTCCATACATTGGTCTGATAACTAATGATTTGTCTTTTTTGCAGCTCTCTGTCCTTATAGATAAGATACAAGTCGTGCTCATTGGCGACCTTCATGAGCAACCTCTTTTGGATTTTCACACACGGAACTTTGAATTAATTGCCAGCAATTGGTCTCACGAGGTAAGGTGTCTGGATTACATGGGATCTGGAACGGCACTCATAAAAATTTGTTATCTCAGCTTTCACTTGACACTTCAATCACATTTACGATCAACTGTAAGTCTTGTTTATGTGATCATTCACCTTCTTTACTCGGCTAACATCTCCTGTGTCCTCAAGACTACAACTTGGCCAATTCGAATTGGGAACCACTCATGGAAGCGTGGCCGATGTCATTCCAAGTTGGTGCCGCTCCATGTCTTAGTCTAAAGCTCGTGCTAAATTACTTTCATGCGTTAGATGGCTCGTCTCGGATCTCCTTTGCAAACCGCATTGTCTTTGGATTCTAAGGAGCGCCTAGAATTGAATTTGACGGCTACGTTCATCGATATCGTCATGACCGGTGCTGAAATTTGGGGTCGGGAGGGCGAAAGCTTCTTACATCGAAAACGTGGTGTGACTGCACCTTATGCAATAAAAAATTTCACCGGTTATTCTCTGAAGATATGGGCCGAGTTGGACGATGGGTCTCATAGCGGTGAAGATCATGTGGTTGAGGACGGCAAAGAGTTATCTTGGCGTTTTGAAGATTGGAAATCAACTCGTGAGGTGAGAGTCCCTCCAAGTTCTACCTGCCCATCTTCACCCACATACTGACTTGACTCTACTCCCCTCAGAATGTCTCTCCTTCCACTCAACATACCTTAGGGCTGGTGCTGCAAGACGCTGGTTGGACTTCAGTTGGCGGGATATCAGTAGTTAGGGAAGGCGATGAAGTTTACCCTTTGCGACCATCCATCGATAAAGTTACCCATCGATTGTTATGTCATGTCGAAATTATAGATAACGTGAAAGTTGTAACTTTCCGTTCAACCTTTCAAGTTCGAAATGATACGTTGTTCCCCATTGAGATGGGCATCGTAAACATGAGTGACACGCTGATTCGTGAACCTTGCAGAATTGGTGAGACCAGGTATTTTCTTCCATCTTGTGTTTGGCAGATTTACTCACTCGAAGCTCTTGCATACCAGCACCGAATCAATCCTGTTCAGTTCCCATACAGGCAGCCTATCATCAAAAAATCAAGATACGCCCGGCTAGTTGTAAGCTCCCTGTTCAACATTCCGTTTTTTTATTAAATATTGTTTACCAATTACTCCATGTTGCCCAGCAAAAAACAGTTTTGCTTGGTCCGAAAAAGCGCTGGGTTGGACAGATCTGGTCAAGCAACCCGTTCGAACTATAACTTGTGCAGCCAATAATCGACAAGAACCATCACACCGTTTCAATGCTACCACAATCTATGACGAAGAGGATAGCACGGTCCGGTAACTATGTCTCCTTTACGTTATATCATGGATTATTAAATGTTCACTAAACTCAAAAACACTTCATAGGTATTATCCCAAAATCACTTTGTATTTGCGCGCGCCGATCGAAATTGAAAATTTACTCCCGTTCGACATCAACTGTACTATACACTTAGACAAGAATTATTCAACATTGTTGAAAAAAGGCGAGCTGTTCCCTGTGCACATCGTCAATGTTATGGACTTGATGTTGCTAGGTATCGAATTCAAGGACGAGGGAATGGTCGGCATGAGGAGTCAGTATGCAGTAGTCAACACAAATAATCCTGAAGACGTGCCTCTGGAAAACCGAATGTCAGTCACGGACGAAGATGGCTTAGCCCTCAACTTGGGGCTTCATTATATGTAAGTTGCTTTTTTCAAAGCGATGTCAATTGAACACTATTTCTATCTGATTCCTGATGCGGAACATACGTCTAGGCGATACCCTTTGTCGGGTGGGGCATTCAAAGTTCAACTTTATAGCCCTTACGTGGTAATCAGTAGGTCCCTTTTCCAATTTGGTTGGTGTTGATCGCTTCATTTTGATTCAACTCATCATTTGCTTCAGACAAGACTGGGTTGGACTTTTCAATAAACTCCAAACCGTTCATTGGCAAAGCTAAAAAGGTTGCAGGGCAGAATCTATGCGGGAGTCAGTCTTCAGAGGCTTTTCATTCATTCATTGTCATTTGATCTTAACATCCATTCCCGTTGACTAGATGCCAGCCGTCGTAAGGAGCCTCGCCCGTTGTTATTTTCACACCTCAGCGATGACAAAAGGAACCGTGCCGTTATTCGAGTCGGAGATTCGAATTGGTCCAAGGTTGTCGATGTTTTTACTCCAAACTGATATTATGAGTGCTGACAATACCGCTTGAAAACAGGGTATCAATTTTGATGTCGTTGGAGCCAATCAGCAAGTGACTATGCAAACTTCAACAAAAACCTCAGAGTACCGAGTTGGATTAACAGTGTCGGAAGGACTCGGAAAGGTTTGGAGCACACAATTTCTCATGGTGTTAGAGTTGAATGCTTCGACTGACTACATGATTTTTGATGTTTATTTTTTTTCTTTTCCTACAGTACAAACTTACTAAGGTGGTAGTAATCTACCCTCGTTTCATCATCAAAAACGAGGCGGACCAACCAATATGCCTTCGGGAGGATGTCTCAGATCAGATGTCAATTGTTAAACCTGGAAAACGTGCCCTGTTAAGTCTATTCATGAGAAGCACCGATCCGCAATTAGTTGTCGCTTTTGAATCTCCTATGGGTAAACGTTGGTAAGTCTTCTTGCTATTTCCTGCTTGATTATTCCAAAGGAATTCACTTGTTGGCCATTGTAGGTCCAAACCTTTCCGAATACAAAACGTCGGGAAAGTCTATATACGAGCTCAGGATCCCCAGAATGAGGAAACACTGGTTCATGCAGAAATTTTGCTTCAAGGCCCATCAATCTTTATCAAACTTAACGTCAATCCTACTCAGTGGCCTATTTTGTTTCGCAACAAAAGTAGCTCTGTTTTGCACTTCGGCCAGACAGTACGCCTTTTACTCATTTGTGAACTCGAGATCTATCTATCTACCTTGCTGACTTGATTCAATACACCACAGGTCATAAATAGTACCAGCAAGGACAACTTAGGAGTTATGAAGTTTTATGAATCTCAGCCGAATACCGAAACACGTTATGCGTGGGACGATCCCGCTGCTGGCTTACAAAGCTTGATTCGTGTGGTCTTGTTCCGGGAAGCGGAAGGATCTTCTTCCAAACCATTACCACCTATCATTCTGAGAGATGTGCATGTTCTGGAAGTTGGACAGTTGGAGCCAGTCAGAACGCATGTGAGTGCCATTTCAGCTTGAATCGAAAACACACTATTATTTACTTCATCAACTTTTCAGAGATCCGGTCAAAAGCTAGCTTTTGATGTTGTAGCCGAAGGGCAGGCTCAGGTGCTAGTTATTTCTGACTATAACGAAGCCACTAATGTGTGGAAGGTGGCCAGAAAGAATACCCCTGGCGCTCCAATCCAGCGTTCCGACAGTTTCAGTAGCTTGGGTGATGCTGTATTTGAGGCCACCACCGTGGAGCCGATCACCCTGGTCACTGCCTCCATCAGTTTGGAAGGAATCGGAATTTCGATCATCGATAAACGAATGCGGGAATTGGTGTACGCTTCTTTCCGAGGAATTGACATTACTTACGAAGAAAGCCAGCTCCAGCAAGACTACGGGATTGTGATATGTTGGATCCAATTAGACAATCAATTGAACGGCGCGCTCTTTCCTGTTTTGTTCCGTCCTACGGATCTTTCTGCTGATCCTAAAGCGGTTGAGACACGCCCTAACTTGCAAATAAAAGCCAACGTTGTTAAGGACGACAGTTAGTGCAATTTATGTGTGGCAACTAGAACAACTTTTTACTGATGTATTTTTTTTCCTCAGAACATGGCGTTGTTTATATCAAGTATGCGACTGTGCTGTTGCAAAAAATGTCTCTTGAGATGGACGAGTCTTTTGTCATTGCTCTAGTGGGATTCACCAAATTTTCTGGTGCCTCGTGGAATCGTGAACATGTAAAGTACGTCACAGTTGATCTTGTGTTAGTTTTTTATCAGCTCGGAAGCTAAACTTTCTGGACAACTGGCACAGTCAACTTATTGCAGATCCTGTTGGGATACCCGAACCGGCGTCAGAAGGTGGAGGACTAGATTTATACTTTGAACTTCTGCATTTGCAGCCGTTTGCGATCGTGATCTCGTTTGAGCGGCAGGAAAGTGTAGATGCTACTGAGAGGTCAGCTTGTTCGAAAAACGTTTCAAAAACTTGTATCCTGAAAAGTTTTATCTTTGCAGGACGTTCGATTCGCGAAACCCCTTGTATTTCTTGCTTAATGCAGTAACGATGGCCATCGGGACCATAAGCGGCGCTCCCCTGATGTTGAATCAACTGAAGATAGAAAATGCCAGGATGTCTCAAAACCAACTTATGGCTCGTCTAATCCAGCATTACCAAAATGAAGGACTGTCACAGTTGTATCGGGTGCTTGCATCTGCTGATTTCCTTGGTAACCCCGCCGGACTTTTCAGTAATGTCAGTTCTGGTGTTCAAGATCTGTTTTACGAACCTTTCAATGGTGTCGTATTACACGGCGGCAGTGAATTGGGTGTTGGGATTGCCCGAGTAAGTCACAACCTCTCTGTAATGCTGTTTATCTTCCTTTCTCATTAACCGGCACGATGTTATCTGTGCAATTTGGATTAGGGAGCAACCAGTCTTGTGAAGAAAAGTGCATTTGGGGTCACAGATAGTGTGTCTAAGATTACCGGATCTGTTAGCAAGGGTTAGTCGATGTGATACGCATGATCGTTTTGTTTTACCAACTATCTTGCAGTTGTGTTGATTCCCCTTTGAAAAACACGAAGGACTCTCCGCCGCTGCCTTGGACTCCGACTGGGCTCGTGAACGACAACGTCGACAGTTCCGCAACCGAAATAAGATTAATGGCTTGGCTACAGGTACCAGCGCTTTTTTGAACTCGTTGGCTAGCGGGATCCAGGGCGTGGCTGTAAGCGCATATTGAATTCACTATTGCTACAGATCAGCTATTGATTTGATCTTGTTGTGGTGCAGATGAAACCGATTCAAGGTGCCGAAAATGGAGGCGCTGTTGGATTTTTCAAGGGTGTCGGCAAAGGATTAGTAGGGTAAGAGGAATCAAATCGTACACTTATTGAATATCACTGATGAATTTGCTTGATGTTATGCAGAGTCGTGGCGAAGCCTGCCGTAGGAACGTTTGACTTCTTGAGTAATGTTTCTGGTGGTCTCAGAAACGCCACTACAGTCTTCGATCCCAGCCGGGGCGGGAGGTGTCGATTACCACGTCACATATCTCATGATGGAATCTTAAGGGTAAGTTACTTCTAAGTGTATCATAACGAATGGCCTGGGGCCCTACGTGATCCGACTTGACACATGCATATACTATTTTTCAGCCTTACAGCCTTCGTGAAGCCCAAGGACAGGATTGGCTGAGATCGGCTGACAATGGGAAACTTTATTCTTGCAAATACGTCGCCCACGTCGAGCTTCCAAACGATCAAGATTCGGTCTGTATCTTGACGACCGATCGGATCGTGATGCTTCAGATCAACAAGCTGGTCATCATTTGGCAGGTACTCTTGTCAGAGTTAAAGGAAGTCGTGTCTGAACCAAGCGGCGTCAGGCTCATCCTCAAAGATGATTATACAAAGCCGCTTATTGCATTGATCGACAGTAGCACTAGATCGTGGTTTGGACAACATATCTTCAAGTATATACATCTCATGTTACTTTCTAGTGATCATTCTCTAAGTGTGCTAATGATCACCTGGGTATTTCGTTGCAGGCTTCTCAAGGATTACAACGACAAAAAGAAACGAGCCGCAGGTGGTAGTCGACATGGGTCCTAAGGTGGCGTCGTCATGCTGGCGCCGTGCATACACTGACTCACAAAAGTAGAAACTACCGGATAGAAAATGAATAACCAAGTAATAAGGAGGATACGATTTCAGTCTGGTGTGATCTTAATTTATTTCCCTGGAGCTGTCTTGAAGGAAGCATTACTCTTTTCATCTTTTCATGCTCGTCTCGTCCATTTCTGTTGTTGTATTCCATATGTAGTTGTCCATGTCAGGAAGTCTTATGTATCTGGTCTCGATTTTCCTCAAGCATAGTCACAATGTTATTTATAGAAGAATGATGATGATAAGGTTCTTAAGCAGATACGAACATATAGAAAAGATGAATGCCACCCGCCAGCAATGGTCCACCTAGTGAGCTTAATTTTCTGCATCTAATGTGGCATTGGTCGGATATCGCCGCTTCCATGCAACTAGATAAACACATATGCCCATATGTTGGCTCCATTGAAAGAGCGTGCGGATAGTACCAATCTGCCACTTGAGCCACCCATCATGAAGCAGGACCTCTCCCAGCATTACAATAAAATATGAAAAGTATTACTATTGTTCCAGAAAGACTAAAACAATCACTCGTGTGATGCAACAAAACGATGACTTCAAAATTGAATGGCAATCAGCTCCAACACCACCGCAACTTGCGGATTCTTAAAGAGAAAACAATGCCACGGGCACGAAGCCTCTCACTTCCAATTCAGTGGAATCAATTTCATTTAATTTTCTTACACGCAATCAATCTGGTTTAATCTTCTTGACTTTCATATGATAACTGTAACTTACAACTGATGAAAGGGCACTTCAATATAAAAGGAATGTGATCATTAAGATAAATCTGATTTGGAACAAATACTAACAAAGGGCAAGATGAAACAATGCGAAGTTTACAAAGCTCCTACTAGCAAATGTAATTTCAATCCAATTCCCTGACCAATTTGTTTATTTTGATTTTTGCATCATATTGAAATTCAACATCAAGCTCCTGTGGTAGCTTGTTTTTTGATTTGTGTATTGGGGATTTCCATGGGAAAAGATTCAATGATTTAAACCTTTGAATCTTATATGGTTTGAACACTGTATACCCTGTATTTCTATACTTGGCACTACTAATTTTAGTCAAAAAATTAAACATACAATCTTCTGTCTTCAAAATGAGTTCCCACTTTTCAATGTTTTGATTCTTGTAATAACACCCTAGGATTTTGAATGCAATTTCTGTTAAGAGAATATCTTCCTGTGTGATCACCAAATCATCTGCACTGCTACCAGATGACCTTCTACATTCATAGGACTTTTCTTGATTCCCTTTCAAGAGAAACAGTCTGACAAGCAAACTTTCTAATTCATGTTCTGGAAAACCATGGATAGGAGTCATCAAATTTTTGTAAAGAATTTGATGACTTGGTTGATCTGTCTTGGTTGGGAAAAAAATGAAGTTTATATACATTTTTATTGATATTTGCTGATTGTAAAAGATATTCTCCCAACGATCACAACCCAAATGTGTCATTAAATGTGTATTCATTGACCAAATGAAATCATAAATTCTATCAATTTTATCAAAAATTGTTGATTGATCAAGGCCCTGAAACTCTTGGCTTTGGTGTGTGTAGCCACCTGATCCTTTATTGAGCACATCTTCTATGTATCTTTTCATGTTCATTTTGAAATCGAGACTTGGTTTGAACTCTGGAGGAGCTTCAACTGGTAATTGCAATTTTATCCTTGATATCCATGCCCAGCTCTTTGGACTGCGAGTTTCTAATGAAAACAATTGGGGGCAAACATCTTTTTCTTTGACAATCTCTTCTATTTTCGTATGAAAAATGGGTTCAACCAAGGCTTCAAATGAATAGATTGGGTATGCATTCTTTTTGTGAATAGCCTTTGATTTTGCTGGCACATAGGGGTTTGTCCAAGGTATTAATTTTCCTCCGTTTCTACTGGCCAACCTGCTGTTAGTGTTGGACTTTTTGAAACCACTGATTAGCCACTGGTATCCAAAACTAGATATTTGCAGCAAGAAATTGACATCTTCTCCAAAAGCTTGAGTCCATTTTGCATAGTTTGTATTTTTGTAGTAAATACCCAGAACATGAACAACAGATTCAATCATCAAAATTTGCTTTTGTGAATAGCATCTTTCTTCTTTACTGAAGCTTGCTCTTCCTCTCGGAAATACTCTATAGACTAAATATTCCTGATCCACAAAATGGAAAGCTTCTGATATCTTTTGATGTAAGAACTTATGCACAGAAAGAGCCCTTTGAATGCTATAACCAAACAAGCTAGTCTGTTGTGGAGAAACAATAATTGCTGATAGCCACTGCACAAATTTTTGCTGCTCTTCTAGATAAGAAGATTCTGATTGGCCACCCCCCAAAATTTGCATAACTCTTAGATTTATGGCCCATGCCAGATGGAAAAATTGTTTTATGTTTTCTTGCACAAAAAATCCTCCAACAAATTTTCTGCCTGGTTCAGAGATTGGAAGCAGGGATTTTTTAGTATTCAAAAGATATGTCTGGGTCAGAATGGGGATTAATGGGTCCACATTATCTTCTAATTCTTTATCTATTAATTCTTGTACCCGGTCCCAGATGACAAAAACCCATGCCCAAATTTTTCCAATTATATTCTGCAGGCAAAATTCTCTTGGCCCCTGTTCTTGTTCTATCTGACCAAGATGTTTTGAATTCAAATAATAAGCCAAACCTCTGGGATCACCCAAGAAGGCAAGCATATTTTCTGGAAATTTTGTAGGGGTTTTTTCACCTTGCAACTGTTTCAAACTGTCCTTTGTTTCAGTAGTGTATTGAATGGTACTCATTGGAGATTGAATTGTTGTTTGAAAGCTGTTGTTATCTCTCACAATTCTTTTGGTACTGGTGGGATTGAGACTACCCATTTCATTTTCTGAAGAGTTTTCAATTGTTTCTGGAGAGCTTGTTTGACCTAAATGTTGATTTAAAAATGTAACAATTTTCCAATGGAAAAAAGTCAGAATGTGGATTGAAGTAGCATGAAATTTTTTGCTGAAGATATCTTGTTGAAGTCACTTTTTGGATAACGAAGATGATAGAAATCTATTGTCAAACAGAAGAAGGTACGTTACCGTGGTATAGAAAGTTTGATAGTGATGAGCGCGGCAGGTAGGCTCGTTGATTGTCACATTTCGATGCGGAATGACCTAGGCGAAGCTCCAAATCTACCCTTTGCTTTTTTTTGTTTGGTAGATTTTCTTCATCTTCTCTGACAGATGGGTCTCGGGGTATGTTTCCTGTTTCGCGCCGATTAACTGTGGCTTCATCTAAAGCTACCGACCCCCCCAAAAGATATTCAACTCAATTCAATTGTCTACTAACTTATTTCTAGGAAGACGTGACTCAGTCTCAAGCACCTATATATGAGATTTGACTGACAAATGGTAGTGAATTGTGGAGAGTTGCATTCACTAGATGGAAATAATGCCATCAGGTAAGATGGGTCGTCAGTTCGCATGCTTGGCGCTTGCGCAACCTTGTTAAGTAGGTACTGTGTTGGTTCATTCTTGGCTGCATCTCCAACCCATTCCATGTTCTGCCTTGAGGTTGCTGAGAGTAACAACACTTTGGAAACAGTTACCAATGTTAAAATTGGGAGCAGCTTCATTTTGAGTGTCAGGAATGTCCTGTGAAGTGACAGAGGCCTTAATTTGGAGGGAATGGATGGAGGGAATGAAGGGAGACAACAATAAGGCTGTGTTTATCACTTTTGCCTTGAACTGCAACCTTAATGAATCGCGCTTCTCCCGGTCATTAAGACAAGTGGCAAGAGTGTATACAAAAGTATTAATATCTCGTAGGAAGGAGTTAATCCTGATGCCTTGCTTGGGAATAAGAGCAAATGCCGCCGCAGTCAAACTGCTGAACACAAGGAGACAAACGTCGAAATGGTAATGTCAACGGCTGTTTCAGATCTTAGTTTTGTTTATTAATCGGTAATATACGTTCCGCCATCTAAGTCCTTCCGTTGGACGCTTGGACAGAAACAACACATCCTGCCTCCCACTTGGGCAGGTCTCTGAATTCAAGAAAGAACAGTAAATCTAATCTACAGCTTTTACAGACCTTGCCGGAAGTCTTCTACTCTTGTATCAGCTAAGATTAGGATGCAATTGAGCATACTAAGTCAACTAACATGAATTAAAATCTAAATATTCTGATCTGTTAAATTGGTTTATGTGATCTAGCATCCACACTCGGACCTAAAGACTTTTTGATTTCTATGAACAAGATAAAAGTGATAAATAAGATAGTGTCCAGTCCAAGTGTTCAAAGTTGACTTGTAAACAGACTTCTACATAAAGTTGTAAGCTGTAGATGTATTCCAAAAAACATCTGCTTTGTAAGGCTTCTGATTTCTCTCTAGACTGTTCAAATTTGATGATTTCAGGTAGGATTTTCTTTCAAAATTGACTTAGAATGGATTTTACCTAAATTGGGAAGTTCACATTGAGAAATCTAATATCTGTTTACCAAGGCCCTGTTTGTTAGTGCAATGCAGCAGGGTAATGTGTGAAATCCTTGCAGAAATTGATGGAATTTGAGCGGATTTCACATATATTACGCTTGCACATGACACTGACAAACGCGGCCTAATTTTCATGATAAAACTTTCATAGAATTAAGTCATCAGAATTGTTGGACCTGGCTGTAAGTTGAGATGATGCATAAGACACGCACATCCACATATATTTGGGGTTCATGATTGAAATTTATCAAATTTTAGAGCCCATTTTAAGGTGTTTATCAGTACTTTTTTTCAAAAATAAGTAGTGCCAATCTTTCAGAAACCCCCAAAACTTCTCACCTTTTCTATCTTTGGAAATGTTGTTGATAAAGGCCTTCAAATGGGCTCTGAAAATTGATAATTTCCAATTGTGAACCCCGCTATTTCACAAAAGTATCAGCCTACGGTTTTTGGAACCAGTGTGTGCACCCAAATCTTTTCCAGTGAGAAAGTGTAAACTCCAACAGCCAGATATCAGACACTGAGTAATAGGTATACAGCAAAAAAGATCTAGAGTCCTAAAATTACCTATTGGTTTCCCTGATCCACAATGAGTACAGTTTCATTTGACAAAATGAACTAATGTTGGTCCTCATTCAAACAGAATAAGAAATATGTAATAGAATAAAAGTCACAGTGAGGAAGAATCTAAATTTGGTGCATAATAGAATTGTTTCACTTGGTGCAACACATCATGGGTGATTAAAGCATTCACTTTCAGTCCCTTCCAATATTCAGGAAAACCCCAAATCTATCAAAGCTGCCTTAAATATAGTTTCAGGAGAGAATGTCTGTTTTCCTATTTGCTTTTATGCTCCTTTTCCTTCTGGGGATGGGAATGTCATGTATTAAAGCCTCAGTGAACCCAACATGGCCAGAAACTCTTACTTTACAACCTGGATTTGAGAATTTTAATTCCATCAAAGAAGGAAATCGTGGTCATCTCAGTCTAGAAATACCTCAATTACATCACTTAAACCAAGAGTATACTTCTACATTTACTTCTTTGGACCTGCCCTTGGAAAATCCACCAGATTCTAACCAGGATCCTATCATATTAGACCAAGAAGAATGTAAACCCACTCCATTCCCATCAACCAATCTCTCCCTAGCAAGGAAATTCCTGTTTGATCCACTAGAAATCAGAAAGAACACAGCTCTTTCCCAATATGATAAAGAAACTGGTGCCACTAAAGTTTCAAATACTGACCAAGTGTTAGGAAATTCACAATTTTTCACCTTGTTTGGAAAGAAAATCAAAATTGATGCACCAGATAGCCATGCTCAACAGCCAACCGTTCACCACAATGTAGCTGAAAATAATTTTAACTTACTATCTCCCACCTTTTCCTCAGGAGTTTCAAAAACTGCCTCCAAAGATTTGTGGAATACAGTGAATTACACACCAAGAAGAAACAATCATAAGGATTCTGTTTCAACAAAACCCCAAGAAACAGAAATGGGATATGGTTCAAATGAATATCACAAAGCAATAGAGATAAGGAATCCTGTTGCACATGCAAAAATTCAAGTGTCAGATTCAAAATACCCCCCAAGTTACATTGATTTTACAGAGCCTAATCCATTATTTAAATATAGTGTAGAAGATCAAAACTTTAAGAATATGCTTCTCTCAGAACAGAAAAAGGCAATGGTTATTAGCCCAAACATGAATATTGCCACAGAAGCTCCATTTTCACACTCGGGGGCATTGATCAAGCATCAATCTTCAAAGGAATTGAGCTCTATGAAAAATTTGCCAAAGGACCCAAGCAGCCTCTCAATTGAAGTCTTATCAGATCCCACATCTAGTTTCAAACCACATCTACCAAAGAAAAGAAACAATATAGATATTTCAACTGACATGAGTACTTCCAAGGTATTTCCAATCAAAACTGCAAAAAAAGGTGGAACCCATAATGTACAAGTATCCATAGTACAACAAAAAGATATCAAGCTCACTGATGTATTCAGGTTGGATAATGAAGTATTCAAGCATGATAAGTACAAAACCATAGAGCATGAATTCAAAGTCAAAAAGATCATTTCAAAAATTAGATTCCTGCATTCAAATGATAATCAGCTGATTGTTCCAAAAAGGGAACCAACAAAAGTCACCAAGTTTCTTCATAGTTTTGCTAGAATCAGTGTTCCCAAGGCACAAAGAGCAGCCTTTTCAAATAAAAAATCAAATGAATCAAATAAATTGGAAACAACTAGCACTTTTACAAATGAGAAAAAAGGACTTAACTCAAAACAGACTTCAAAAATGAATCGAAAAAACCTACTGTGTACTGCATTGTTTCAGATTGATTCAGAGAAGAAGAAATGGTTTTTATTTTGGAAAGAAAGGACTGGGTGTGACTTTGAAAAATTGATCCAATCTCAACTTTCAAAATCAAATATCACACAGGATAATCATATGGAAAGAGATTTTGCTTTACTTCTATTTCACCTTGACATGATTGGTACTATTCTACAGAAAAATGTTTCAGAAGAGGTCCAAAATTGTGGTACAAATATTCTTAAGGAAGCATACAGTTTATTTGAACAAAGAATCAAGAAGAATTTGTTTGGAAGATCTATATTTGAAGATACAAAGCATCAACCAAGCAGAACTGTAGACACAGAAAGGGCTTTTGTGTGGGTTTGGGAATGGATAAAATTTGTTGTAATTCAATTGAAAGAAGACAACTTGAAGAATATTCTATTTCAGGGGGTAGAATGTCATATTCAAAATCTGACCAAATGTTTTTTTACAGATGTTTTTGCCTATTCAATCAAAAACATGAATGTCAGATTATTAAATTATTATAAAGAGTTACATTAAAAGACCAAAAACTGGTCTGAATCCAAAGAATTTATTCTGATAAATTAAGTATATATATATCAATATTGTAGAGCTTTATAAACTTCATATGTGATTGATATCAACACAATCATTATCCAAATTAGAAACAGCAGAATCAATTGGAATTTTGACCAAGTTTTACTTTTTACCTAGATTTCTCACAAATCTGATTTTATGCCCTTTATATGGCTTTTATCCTTCTTTTACAATTCAGATAATTCTTTGAAACAATATAAGAGCATTGGTTCCTCAGTTTCTAAGGAACACCCCAGCACCAAAATGAACAGATCATCTTATGGGAAAATCTGAAACCCTTTTTGCTGTCTATGATTGTTGTACTTCCAAATGAAAGGGTTCCTCATTTTTCAAGTAAACCTCCTCCTGACTGCTTCATGTGTAGGGGACAGAGCACAAGCTCCCCATTTTCCAGGGGGGAACTCTTGAGATTTAGAACCGCACAAATTACAATCATGGTCTTAGATTTGACTGGTGTGAAACCCCTCTCCACAGCACTACAAAAATCTTGAATCACATTCTGCAAATGCAAAGTGATATGTGAATATTGTGATGTTACCGTGCATCCACAGAATGCCATTCAACACTTTTTGTAGCACAGGTTTCACAAGAACATTACATAATCAGAAGCTCATCAAATACTTCAACACTCAGACCATCTCCACCGCAAAGCGTTGTTTGAGTTGTTAAATTTACAAACTCTGTGACTGCAGCGCACCTATAGCAACCCGGTGAAACTTGATTTTCCACCGCAGGGTGATCAAGTAGGTGTGTTGTATGTGAAAGGCCACCCAATTAGGGAGGAGGATCTGGATTTCACCAAGATTGCCTTGTGAAACCATTGGGTTGGGGAGGTACATGGGTTGTTATAGTGATTGCACATCTGGCAATGCTATACAACTTGAGAGGGGGAAAACTATATTTACCTCCCCTTTGGCACCCCTGGTGGTAGTGGTATTTTGAGCTTGGGGAGGCAAATTTGGTTTACTCAAGCAGTTTACCTCCCTGGGTGGAGATGGTCTCACCACCCCGACCCCTTCCAAGCTCAGCAGAGACTTTGACTTCATTATCAATTCTGCTGAGCTAGTAATTCCAAATCACTTTGGTTCTAGAAAAAGTCTCCCTCAGTGCCCAAAATTCCCGGTTCCAAAGTTTTGTTTTAAAGAGCCGGCGGATGAAACAGAGGATCAAGGATTGTTTGATGACGTAATTGGACTGTGGTGTCACAGGGATGTTGTATGTGGACTGTCCCTCGTGGTGATCGAGTGCATCGCCTCCAAGTCCACAGTCCAGGTGGCAGGCGAGCAAGTGTCTGCTCGACTTCAGAAAAAACCAACCAGAAAACCACAAGATGGCTCAGGGCACCCTACTACTCTCCATACCTGAGGTCACCGTACACCAACTCAAGCCAACAACTGCCAGCAACAGCAACGACCAATCGATCGACTCCACCCTCCTGACCGCAACCATCCTCAACCTGCTACTCGTCGACATCCCCTCAACCGCCCTCAAATCAATCCCATCAGTCTCAGAACCACCACCATACAACAACCTAGAGAAAACTAATGGAGAACAGCAGCAGGCTCAACAGGCCACCGTCGAGACCTGGCTCGTCCTCTCACTAGCCGATGGCCTCATCGATATCCCACTCTCACAGTCATCCCAGATTTCCTTCCAGCAGCCTCGCTCCTATCTCGTCCCGATCCTACCAGGGGATGCAACCCCAGCTGAGGTCGATCAAAAGAAGGCTCATCAAGCTCTAGTCAGGATCGATATTGCTAGCCATATTCCCGATGATACCATCGACACCCTCGATAGCATCCTAGCCGGCTGGACCCAATACCCCGGCCGTCAGTCTGCCAATCAGAACCTACTCTCCCCCAATCATATTCCTTCCAAACCCCACTCCCCACCTCCTCCTTCACATCCCTCGGGCTCATCTGCGTACCCAAAGGAAAAAGTTGGTTCAAGACAATCTCCGTCTAACGGTGCACCCTCCAAGGTATGCTCTTGATTTTGACTTATTTATCAATATAAGTATAGTTTGTAAAATTCATAATTTTCTTCTGTGTGAACCATCAGGCACCTTTTCCATCTGAGGGCCGTTTGGCACTGATGGATGAATCAACTGGTGAAATCTGTGGAGAACTGACTTCAGATGTCACATTCCAAGGCCCGGCGATCGCCCCACACGCCCCTCCCTACCCAGCAGGCCCTTCACATCAAGCTCCTATCATAGGAGGTCAATCGGGAGCGCCTCATCTATTGCTTGCGGCGCCTCAACCGGTGATCGTCTCGATGAACACGTCGGGGCAGGGCCAGGGACATTCGACGGCCCAAGTCAGCGCGATCCCGCCCGGCGGGGGCTCCCAGATCCTCAGTGGGGCCGAATGGGTCTCCCGTGGAATCCTGGCGGGCTCGGAGGTGATCAGCTCGATGATCAAGAAGAGTGGGAGCCAGTACCTCGGTAGCGCCAAGCCGGCCGCGACACCGATCACCTTCTCTACCACCACACATGCGAATGCCGACAGGGTCCTCGGCTTCACCCGCTCAGCCTCTAAGGTCTCTGGCAAAGCTGCCACCCTTGTAGGTTCAGTCTTCGGGAAAGTCGGCGACCAGATCGGAAAATCTACCGGCATCCAACGCTCTCCCTCAGGCGCTCCTCCCTCCGGGGCACGCGGATACGTCCACAAGGGCTTGGTCGCTTTTAATACCGTCATGGAATTCCCTCGAAACCGGGGGGGAAGAAAGTTTTGGCAACTGCGTAAGCAATCCAATTTCTGTGATAATCAAGTCTCGAGAATTAAACTGACCAATCAAAGAAAACAATAATAATGTCTGAACGGTATGATCTTTTTCAATTTGTGACGATGCACATGACACATAACGACATCAAAACAGGGGCGACACGACCACGGAGGTAGTGACCCATGCCTACGGAGCCGAAGCGGGCCAGATTGCGCAAAGAGCCAACCATGCGGTGCGCAACGTCGGACTAGTCTACATCGATGCCCGCGGGGTGACTCGTCGCGCGATCCTCAAGTCCGTCGGGAAGGCCGCCGTCAGGGGAAGGATGAATGACGGCAGGGAGGTCATCCTCGGCTCGGACGAGACCGTCGACCAGTGGACTCTCGTCTCTAAAGAACCCGAGGCTTGTACGGATCACAAAAACTCAGATCCTAGTCATACGGCTGAGAAGGATCATAAGTTTTGACCTTTTTTCTTTCTTTTTTTTAATTATATTCATATACACGCTATATAGGATTTCTTGTTAATCATTGGTGGGTCACACATATATAGTTTTGTTGAATATACAATCACTTATTTTCATACACGAGCATGGTATTACAATACAATTTATCATTGTTTTTCTCACCTGCATATATACATCTATTTGAGTACCCGTCTTTAACATGTATATCTTCTACACATGTCTACATTGTTAAATGGAACTTCATCTTGTATGTATCTTATTGAACCTCTCATGTTAACAATCAGCACTCATACAATAGTCTCCTTGAATTAGATATCCCCTCTATGATGAGGTGAAGCTATTGTGCACCCTTTTTTGGTCATTTTTGTTGATTTTTGTTGGAAAAGCCCACATCATCTTATAATATGATCCCACACACTCACAGTGACAGAGACAACGCAGTAACAGATCCGATCCCCGGATCAGTATTTATCGGGGAATGGATAGGAAGTTAACTGCATAAACAGCCTCAGACAGATGTTTGCAATGGTTTCTCTGGGCAAATTTGTGTCTTGATCTGTTTTTTTTTTTTTTTGCCTGAGCCTTCTTAAATCTCAAGCTCCATCTATATGGAAACTCTCCACCTGAGATTTGGGAAGCTCATACAGTCTTTTATACATTTCTGGTTGGTGGTGGCAATGGTGGGCCAGCTACGCTAACCGTAGTGTTAGCGTGGGGTAGCGCAGCAAAAATACGCTACTTTGTAGCGTAGCGTTAGCGCAAAATCCACCTTTCTGCGCTAACGCTATGCGCAAAGGGCACAACAGTGTGTTAGCTGTTAGCGTAGCGTTAGCATAGAAAGTTGGAATTGCGCTAACGCTACGTTCTCAGGGCACAAAAAAGTGCCTGCTACGCCGCGCTACAGCGCTTTTTAGCAGTTTTTTGCCTTTTTTGCCGCTAAAAGCGCTGTAGCGCAGCATAACACAGCATAGCGGCTGTAGCCGTGCGCTAACACTACCCAGAAACAAGCCACCTGTTAGCGGTAGCGTAGCGGCGGTAGCAACATGCTAACACTACAGAAAAAAGGGTCTGTTTTAGTGCCGCTACGCTAACGCTAAGTGGCCCTTTAGTGTAGCGTAGCATAGCGGCCCACCGTTGGTGGTGGTTATTCTGACACAACATACTACAATTAGAGCCTGGACCTCATCATCTTTGTGCCTTTTTGGGGGCCAAAGCTTGGTTTTTTTTTTTTCTCTCTCTCTCTCTCTTTGCAGGGTCTCAGAAGGCTTGGTTGACACATGGGTATTGGGAATGACCATAGTTGAGAAATAGTTGGTGTTGTGTTGATTACAAGAAAGGAAAAAAGACTGATAAGGAAGAGGTGAAACTGAGACCTGTTGGACTACCTCAAATCAATATTGAGATATTGAAAAACCAAAAGTCATAACTCTCTGAGTTTTTTTTGAACAAGCCAGAATTCAGTTATCCTCTGTGAAAGTGAAGCCCAATCCATCCTCTACAGCTCAAGTTAATCATTTAGAAATGTCTAGATTTTTCACTCAAGTAGCCCAAAAATGGGTTTCTTTTCTCTTTTGGCTGCTTTACATCATGAGGTAGTAAAACAAAAAAAAATCCATTTTTATTCATGAACATTTTGTATACTTTTGATCTTGTCACAGATTTGGAAATTCTATGTAACATTTATATTGGATATCTTCAAAAATTTCAAAATTACCAATTTGAGATTGGTGTTTATCTTAAGCTTGATTAAAATTGAAACAGTTTAAATCAGTGGTGGTTCAGGAGTATTTTCATCAATTTTCTTCATCCAATAGTTTATCATGCTTCTTTTTCTGTAATGCATGTATCTTCTTAGCTCTGATTTATCTAGTGCTAGTGCAGACTGTGAGAAGTCCATTCTCCATGGAAATAGTTTCAATGGTTTCATGAACTTTTCAGCCATTTCTTTCCTCCATGCTAGATACTTTGTGGTTTGATACTTTTGCTTGCTTATTTGAATCAAAAATTCAAAAAAGTCCTGATCTGTTTCAAACAGCATTACCCACTTTTTATTGTTGTAATTCTTATAATAATTTCCAAGAATATTGACTGCAAGTGCTGTTAAAATCATACTTTCCTCAGTGATCATTGCATCAGTGGAAACCATTGCATTTGTATGTTTTGAATGGTATATCTCTGATTGACATGTCTTTGAAAAAAACAGAGTTGACATTAGATTGTCAATCTTTTTACCTTTGAAAGAATGGATGTGGAAGTGATTGGGATCAAGATCTTGATTTGAACATTGTGGATCTCTTTTAGGGTAAAAAAGAGAGGTGAAATATATTTGTATCAACTTTTCCTCATGGTATAGACTCTCATTCCAAATTTCACATCCCAAATTTAAGAGCAAGTTTCTATTTATTTCCCAAACATAATCAGTCAGATTTCAATTTTCTCAAAAATTAATTTTTGCCGGGGGCCATTGATAGCCCAACATCTTGTGATCACTTCTTTTGCTGAATAAATCTACAAGATAACTCTCCATATTTCTTCTCAATTCCAGGCTTGGTTTGAAATCAAAATTTCCTCTTGATTGCACATGAAACATCATTCTTGAAATCCATGCCCAATATCGTGGCTGTTGGGGGGCCAAAGAAAAGATTTGAGAATTGAGAAATGGCTGATTTATGAAACTGGTACTGCCAACATCTGAGATTGGCACCACAAATCTATCAAATTGATAAACCAGGTGTGAAATTTTATTTTCCACAGGTTTGAAGAACTCTGTTGAGTAGGGTTCCTTCCAAGGAAGCAATTGCCCTCCATTTCTCTTCTTCATGATCTCAATTGGGGATATCGGGAATTCTTCACTCATCCAACGTAATCTAAAGCTGCAGATCCTGAGCACAAAATATTCATCTTCCCCAAACATGTGCTTCCATTTATCATGGTTTATGTTTTTGTAATAAAGGCCAAGAACATGAATAACTGCTCGACTTATTGAGACTTTTTTCTGTGAAACAAACATGAATGGGTTCTTTTTATTATTTTTCTTCCACCCTTGAAAAATTTTGAATGTTGGAGTTTCGCCATCCATGGAAGTGATGGCTTCAGCCATCTTTTTATAGAGATATTCACATATGGTGTAAGCCATCTTTTCATCATCGCTGGTTGACGAGGAAATCAAGCTGGGATGTTGAGAAATTCTTGACATTGACTCAATTAACCAACTCATCAAGCCTGATTGTTCTTGAAGATAAAACGGATCTGATTGACCGACACCGATAATCTGCAACACCCTAAGGTTCACAGCCCACAATGCATGGCAGATTTCCTTTATCCCTGCATCTAGATTAATTCTTTCAGTAATTTTTTTGCTCACGTCAGCGATCCCACTTGGAGAGCGTGCACAATGAGACAAACAGGCCTGGGTCAAATGTGGTATTAATGGATCGACGTATGTTTTTAATTCGCTAGATATCAAGTGGTGAACACGATTTCCAATGAGTGATATCCATGGCCATACTTTGCTGGTCATGTTCTCCAAGAGGAACTCTCTTGGCACCTCGTCCGTTCTTTTTCGGGTGAGATCATCATTTGCATTCCTAGTACTATCTTGGTTGATGAGCCCTTGAGAGTCCGTTGCAAATTTTCCGCTTTGAAGCTGGTTTGAAACCTCAAGTCTTGCCGTCGTGAGTCTCCTATCATTAATCGGTGATTGCTTTGAAAAGCTACCCATGTCTCTTGAGGAAACATCGATTAATTCCGGCGCTGATCTTACATTGCTACTCGGCGATTTCCTTGCAAGGCAACTCGGAGCTCTTGAGCTTTCAGGTCTCGCATTTTTTATGGCGCTGGTGGGGTGACGAAAATTCTTCTCGCTTTCTGAGCCAGATACCCCGATGATTTCTGAAGGAATTGGCTTATCTGTAGGTTGGTTCATGCGTCAATTTCACCAATGAAAAAACAAAGTAGTTAGATTTTGGAACCCAATAGCGGGGCGTTGACGTCGGCTGGCTGGCTGGCTTGAAGACCAATCTGAGGAATGCTCAAGATGAGGCAAGGGAATGTGGAACAGAAAAAGTGAATTACCATTGGTTCCAATTTCTGAAGGCGGTAAACTTGACAAGGCCGCTGTCGTTGGACGAGAAACGGCTAATCTTAGCTCTAGATCTACCTGTTGTCTTTTGGCAGTTGGATGATAAGGTCCTTGAACTTTCCCAATTTTGAAGCTCTCTCGGATAGCTCCAGTTGGCCTTTTCCGGCTCTGATGTTCATCTCCTGTCTGGGCTGAATCGCCTAATGCCCCGCAGCCACATTAACAAAAATTTTAGGCTCATTAAGCAACTACTTCCTTGCAGCCAAAACGTTCTACTTTCCCGGAGTAAACAAGAAATTTGACCGACCAGTGGTTTGTGTTCTTGAAAAACGAGTTGGAAATAATGGTAAGAGTTGTGGCCCCTGTTCAATCTGCATCATGTGCTGCTCTGGTGCAACATTGTAAACCACATCTCGCCATGATTTATCCATTGCTGCATCGTACCTCTGAGCCAGAATGAGGAGGGCGAAACCCATGAAGAATTTCAGTCTTGACATTGTGCATTCGCGCGGGAGGTACATGGTTGGTAAAGTGGGACAGTTCCTCATGTTGAAGGGAGATGCCATAGCAGGTTTCTTGACCCCGTGCGTGCCTTCAGAGTGACCAAAAGAATATACTCACCGCAGCCTTGGTGAATATACATCAATTTCATTTTGTTGAGTTTTCAACTCTTCTGCCTACTCTTTCCCAAATCACTCCTTTGTTTCCCTATTTTTTCTTTCTTAAATCATCTTGACCTAGACTGAACTATAGTCAATCATAGCTGTTTTTTGTGTTGAATCTTATGCTCACTTGTAGTCTAATTAGAACTCACCATGGCAATTTTGCTCTAACAACTCTAGTCGTACTCGTTGATTTCTTTCTTTATCTAGGTCATTATTTGATTCATTAAAATCTGATTGTCTAGAATTAACGACTCTAAACATTTGTGATGGAGAATATGTTTTGTCATGATTAATTTTACTAGCTTGTCTAAAAGAGACTGAGAAGACTTGTTCGGTTATTCTTCCATGAAATCAGAATCTAGATATGAACACTGTTCAAGTCACCTGGACAAATAAAAAAAAACAAGAAAAATGGGCATATATGGACTCAAGTCTCAGTGAATTTTTCACCCAGAAATTGTTAAAAGTTGTTGCCAGTCACTACCGACTAGGGGCAAGGCTAACAATCCACATTTCAATGGGTTCATTGTTAGTCTACACTCAACATCAATCTGCCTTTGTACTCTCACTATTTACCCAGATTATGAATCCATTTTGCAATTTCACACACATCCTATCAACTCATCATTTCAAATTTCCACCAAAGGTGTATTCCTTCACAAATCAAAACCAGGTCAAATTTTTGTGTTGTTAATTCCTTGTGAATGCTTTCCACCCACTTCAATTTCATTTCACAAGCCTGTGGCATTTTGTATGTATTACTTGCATAGGTCAGCTGGATGTTCATTGTCCTTTCTACTCTGTATGTTCTGGCTTAAGTAAGCCTCCTCTTTCTCTCTCTCTTCTTTAATGTATTTTGACTTTGAAATAATTGAGCTTTTGGGAGTTTCTGAGTCATTATCTTGCAAGTGCAATGAGCTTTGTCCACAAATATCAACATTATTGGATGGTGACTTTTTCAATTTGGAAGGTATTTGTGCAGGCTCCAATGAGCCAAGAAAAGTGCAATCTTTGAGAAACAAGAACACCTTATTCTATCGAGGGGGGTCACGGTCTCAGGGGGAGTTCATGATATTTTGAATAAGATGAGACATTAATGGACTTGGATCATTCTTTGGAACTTATTTTGCTACACCACGGGCACAGTGCGAGTGGCTAGTAGCAATTCCCATAAATAATAAGTTCAGAAAGATTGAATTTTAGAAATTCTGTTGAAATTAAGACCAACTCACAGGGATAAATCTCTTTGAGAAAGGCTTTCAACAACAAAATTAATTGTTGGACTGGCTCATGAGAGGGGCGGAAAAAGAGATGAAGAACTGATGGTATTTAGGATTACTGATACTAGACTAGCATAGATAGACTGGATAAATGTGATTAACCAGTGGTTGACTTGAGCTAGGAAATATTCAATATAAAAGGTGATCAAAAATAGATTAGCAAAAAAAAGAAGAAGATACTCATAGAGGGATGAGTTGAAGATAAGATACTACTATACTTAGGGTTCAAAGTGTGTTCAGACTTTCAAAACAGGGCAAGTTAACTTCAAAGCAATGGGTCATAAAGATTGGATATCCCACTGTACAATCAAAGAATATTGCATTTAATGATTGGTTTTGAAGCGCCTGAGGGAGTAGCTGGATCAAGCTTGTCTGAAGAGATTTGAGAAGTAATTCGCAATGGTTTAGAGAATGGGCCGGGAAGGTTATCAGCAGAGATACCTCTCATGATGATCCGCAAACTATTACAATTTACAAGTCTAAGGATGTCGTCAACAGAGTATTTGAGGTGGCCTTGCTTGATGTTATCGGTGATCCCGCCCTGGAAGAACTTCCATTCAATTTCCTGGGCCGGCTCGGCTTGGCCGGCAGGACTGATCCACAACTCGTAGGAATCCGCCCAAGCAACGCCTCTCCAGGTGAAGCTCTCGCCATTAGAGCAGAGGAAGAGCTCGGGTGAATGCTCGAGTCGGATGGGCGGGGGCTCTTGGTTTGTCAACTCGAAGGCAGCCTTGCGGATTGCCCGAATGACGTCGCGTTCCCTGTGGTCCCATTCGGGATGTTGGCCGGTGGACAGCCGGGCGGGCTCCCAGCCGGGTGCATGGTAGGACCATATCTCATTGCCTTCGCCATGAGTTTGGAAGCCACCTTTGACCGAGTGTGGACGCAAGGACCAGGCCAGGGTCCCACTGACACCTTGTTGGTCACAATGTTTCAAGAAGTATTCGAACTGCTGGCCATCGGCAAAGAAGCCGTACTCGCCACAAATGAATGCCGTACCATGTGCCCGTGCTACCTTGACATCCTTCTCCACTCGCCATTTATCTCCATAGCCGTAGTAGTGATAGCCTACGATGTCGACCAACTCGCTTCGAAGGGCTTGGTGGTCATGACTGTGTTCGATTGCGTCGTTCCGGGCAAAGGAGCCGTCCATGACTAAGGCCTTGGGAGCAAGGCTCTTGATGTGGCGAGCGATCTCGAGGGTCCAGTCGCCTGGGGCTGGACTCAGCCCTCCAAAATTCATCTCGTTACCGGTCTCAAAAGCCAGAATGGTTGGGTCGTCGCCGATCCGGACTCCGGTGAAGGTGTTGACGCGGTTGAGCAGGAAGCTCACAATCTTCTTCATCGAGTCCAAACACTCCTCATCTCTCCACCAATCCAGACCCTGTCTGTCTTTGCGAACGCCTCGACGATGTCGTATGAGATCGGTGAAGTTTCCGACCCAGTTAGTCTCTTCTGAGCCGTAATCTTGGTTGATGATTGGGATGATCAATCGGACGTTGTACTGAGCAGCCAATGCGATGGTATGGTCGATTGATACGAACATATCCTCATCGTAGAGGAAATCCTCTAGTTCCGGATCCCATCCGTTGATGTGTCCTCTCGAGATCCGGGTTGATTTGACTTTGAGGGTATAAGTTCGGGTCACCGGCCATTTCCCGAACTGGGCGATCGTCCGCATGGTGTCCTCCTTTTCGAAGCCCTCGTTATCGAACAGATCGGGTGCACAGAGGCTTGCAAACCGGACTACTTCTCCTGTCCCCTCGACCTCAAGCTGAGCGGTCGCCGGATTCCTGATGATGAACCGGCCCCGGTTGTTCGCCGCTCCTCCCGAGCTGCTGGCCGGATGTGGGCTCGGCCGGAGCATCTGCCGGCCATCGGGCACTCCCCGGCCACCAATCAAATATTGAGGGCTCGAGTGCTCACGATGCAGAGTCTCCTCGGGCTTATTCCCAACTCCTGTTTGATCTGGATCACCTACTGCCCCAAATGGAATCAAATTAAAAAAAAAAAAACATGTTAGATTCATCCAAGTACTTCGCCCCATTCAAATTGCGCTATTCTCCCGCAGGGAATACAAAAATTTGACTGACTGATGGAAGGTGCTCTTGCAGAACAACTTGGACATAATGGTAACAGCTGTGGGGCCTGTTCAATCTGGATGGGTTCCTTCTGTGCAGCATGGTGGACTAAGTCTCCACAACTTATAGGCTTGTCCATAGCTGCTTCGCACCCTTGAGCCAGGCCCAGAAGGATGCAAAAGGTCAAGCCGATCCAAGATTTCAGGGTTGACATTCTGTCCTGAAGTTGCGCGAGAGGGAACAAAATTGGTCGAGTGGAACGGCTCCTCTTTTTATAGGAAAAATCATCCAGCAGCTCTACGTGTCTTTACATCAGAAGAATATGATCAGAGCGCAGCCTCGATCATGAAGCTCCCTCACACATCACATCAAAACAGTCAACCCATCCGACTGCAAGAGAATTCATGAAGCAAATGCAAACAGATACAGTTGGATTGAAGTTGCCTTGAGACTATTTACTCTGCTTGAAGTCTGTCAGGGAAGGTGATTGATAGCTATTAGGGTCAGGAACTCTAAAATGCAAAAGACCGATCAAAATCTCAAGAGGGTGAAGATGTCTCAACGACCTTCGGTCTTACCGAACATGACGACCAAAATTACCAACTCTGCACAAGTACGCTAACCTTCAAGTTTTAAACACATCTTGCCTGGTACGGTAGGGGCGCGAAGCAACTCGCACAAAGCTACGAAGCTGCGAAATCTTACGCCGGCTCTTGGGAAGCTCCTTGGTGTGCAGTCGTCGTTGCTAGATAGGGCCGACGAACATTGTTCGGCATCCGAGCAACACAAAGAAAACCTAGAAAAATCTAGTATAATGGAGAATTTATAATGGATCATTACACCTTCTGCCTTTGTTAATCCCTGCCTAGGTTATAAGTTAACTCATAGATTTTTTTTTGGCTCTATCACCATCAAACTTGAGTCGATCGATTGTCACTCTACATACCCATATGCTCGTTCAGTTCATTATGATTGTCACTTGCATCGAGGCATCTGAAGGCTGAAGCGCCCCCTCATTTATAAAAAAAAATACACATTTCGATTCATGAACATACTAAAGGGACTAGACTTACATTAATGAACAACAGTAAAACAAAGCTGAAAAAAAAGGCAAAAGCGAGACTCAATGACCGACGATGAATCTATTCTGATGGACATTCGTTGATAGAGTTCATTAAGAAATTGATGACCAAGTTTTGCTGCGTAATTATCTTCGGATCTGATTGGTCAGATTCTCCAGAAAAAAACGGAACGTTTAACTGGATTTTTTTTATTAAGAGCATCAAAAAAAAAAAAAAGGTCAGCATCAGCATCATCATCATCCAAAAGAAACGGGGTGATTGATCATTTGAATGAGAAAAAAAAAGATGGGTGATTGATCGATGTTGGAAGCTATGAGTCTTGGATGATCGACGTGTCCTTCAGCTCTGCTGTTTAGAAACCTGAGAAACAAGAGAACCCAATCGAGCGAAAAAAATGGGGCATTACATTTTGGAGTGTGATTGATTGAGAGAGTTTCAATTGATCCCATTTCGACAAGACCGAGCGATCGAACAAATCCAGTTTGGACTCGTATTCATTCTTCAAGTTCTGAAAGATTTCCAAATGAGATTGGAGAAAGAAGCCATCAGTTTCCAGCGTGATGCCTGGCGAATAGGTATGAGTGTGATTAGAGACTATGTAAACACTTGCCTCGGTTCGGGCTTCATTCTGGATCCTGAATGACAAGAATAAAAGAGTGAGTAGAAAGTGTTTGTGAATCCATTAGAAGGTCAACTAGATTTACTTAGTAGTAGTTGATGATGAGGAGTTATCTGGCGAGGATGAATTGATGAGTTTCTTGAGTTTGCGATCGAGTTCAGCTTGGATCTGATTGCGTTGATCGATTGATCTCAATTCGAATTGATCCTGATCTTCTTTAATCTGTTTATAAAAAAAAACGAACCTTGAGGATCATTCAGATCATACATGAACAATTAAGAAAGATGGAGTGTATTGACCTGTTGAATTTTATCCAAGAATCCTGGTTGAAGCTCGATGGTTTTCTGGAGTGTTGTTAGGGCTTGATCGAAGTTAAGAATTGGTTGGGTTGTTGGTTGATGATTGGGATGGTCTTGTTGAGCTTGATGATGATCCTTGAGTGTGCTGGTTGATGATGATGGTTGATTAATCAGTTTTTGTCGTTTGTGAGGGTTTGATTCGTTTTCGATTGAGGTTGAGGTTGAGTTAGTGTGAGTTTGATGCTGTTTTTGTAGTGATTGTAGTAGTTCTTGGAGGTGTTCTAGTTTGATGTTTGCCATTTTGTTGGGTTTCAAGGCCTTGTTGACTTTTGGTATGTAGCTTTTGGTGGTGTGTTATGGACCCCCCCTCGAGGGGGGTTTGATTAGATAAGCTAGGGAGGGTCACGCACGAAGGACCCCCCACAACCCACCGGAAGGTTTTCGGCCGGCGATTCGGAGACTTCACTTTCATCACATTCCGGGCGGAGAAACTCAAGGAAACTCTAAAAGAATCAAGCTTATCGATCGCTCAAGTCAAAAAGAGAATTAAGGGAATCAACAAAAGTGACCGAGGCAAGACAAGAAACAAAGAAAACTACCACAAAAAAAGGAACACACCAACCTTGATTCTTTTAGAGTTTCCTTGAGTTTCTTGTGAGGTGACAGAGACGTAGACGAGTCCCCGCCGTCCATGGCCATCCAGACGCTATGCTGGCATCTAATTTAGTCGGATCTATAACCATCAGGAACGCGAAAACCGGAGGCCCGGACGCGCCACAGGTAATAAGCCTGGTGGAACAAAGTCATGTGCTGTGCCCTGTCTTAGCAATACGGCGGAGGTTATCGTCCGCCCTGGGCGAGAGGACGTCTCTTTTTGGTTTCACAATCGATGGGGCGCGTACTCATCTAACGAGACGAAACACCGTTGCCAGGTTAGAACAAGTTCTTCTGAGAGGCGGCTTCAAAGGTCTACACGGCCACTCGTTCCGCGTAGGAGGAGCGTCACTACGATATGCTTTGGGTATGACGGTAGATGACTTATGCACTCTAGGCAGATGGAAGTCGGAGTGCTATAAATTATATTTGAGGCCATACAATGCTGAAGACATGGCACGTACAAGGTTGTTACTTAGAAAGATCAAGAGTAATTGGAAAAGGATGGGTTTGTAAAACTGCAATCAATGATTCATACGGAGATTGGGTGTTCTCACTCTCGGCTCAGGCTCCTCCTTCAGCGAATCCTTCGTCGCCTGCTGTTTGAGCATCTTTAATCTTAGCCCAAATGTGTTCTCTTTCATCGATCTGTTCGGTGATCGGTGGGACTGACGTCTTGCTTGCGATCTCATTCAACGTTTCTGTGGATAATACTGGGTTCTTGCTTATCAAATCTACTGACTCGTCCCCTCCGCTATCCTGTGAGGCGTCTAATGTGATCGTAGGGTTCACGGGAGTCTCCGTTTCTGCTGATGGTGACGATGTGTTTTCATTGTTAACGACAGGGTTCTTTGCGGATTTCGCGCGCGTTACTTTGGGAGCTGATCTAAGTGTTGATTCCATATTTGACGGACGTTCGCTTGCTGCAAAAACGCGAAAACGAGAATATTAATATATTATCGTTGATATCTTATCTGTGATCGTGAGGGACGTGACTTTTGACGCTTACTCGGGATAATACGTGACTTTTGACGCTTACTTGGGGGATAACTCAAACGTCGAAAAGGGGCTTTGCCGACTTGATAAGATTCAGGCTCGGTCGGTAAGAAAATGGGCTTAAACGGTCGGTACGATGATGCGCTTAACTATATATTGAAAAAAGGCCAATTTCTATCAGTAAATGCAAAACCAATGAGCTCTAGGTCATTGGAGGAAGTACCTTACTACTCAAATTTCAAATTTGATGTCCTCAGGGTCTAGTTTAACCTGGTGTTAGTTGTGATTCTTCAGGGCCTGGTTAACCTGGTAGTGATTACGAGTGATTACGAATAGGATGTGCTCGAAACTTGGTGCGTTGGCGGTTCGACTAGTTGTCTTTTCTTTCTTCAGGGTCTAGTTAACCTGGTTTGTCCGAGTTGTGATGAGTCTTTCAGGATCTAGTTAACCTGGGAGAGAAAAAGGAGATGAAGAGAAAAATTTCTTGGAGACACGATGATGAAGAAGGAATAGCGTATGCGGCATACGGGGTTGTGGGGAGGAATTGGGGGGAGGAGTAGGGGGGAGAGGAAACTTCTCGAGTCCGCTCTAATATTCACTGTAACCCTTAAAGTGGAGGACGCGGACGCACAGACCGTTCCGATCTCCTCTAGCCAGTTTGGCCCAGCATAGCGTCTGGATGGCCATGGACGGCGGGGACTCGTCTACGTCTCTGTCACCTCACAAGAAACTCAAGGAAACTCTAAAAGAATCAAGCTTATCGATCGCTCAAGTCAAAAAGAGAATTAAGGGAATCAACAAAAGTGACCGAGGCAAGACAAGAAACAAAGAAAACTACCACAAAAAAAGGAACACACCAACCAACGCT